CGGTGCGGCATCGACACGCCGCCCGCGAGAGATGGCCGCTTGCGGAATGCCGGTTGCAACAAGATGAACCCAATCGCGGCAGGCAAAACCCAATCGTACCCAGTCGCACCCAGCCGCACCCAGTCGCGACATGCAGGCGGCCGTCTTCGTGGCCCTGGAGACTGAAGGCGACGGACATCGGGCAGCGTGCGCGCGATCAGTTGAAGACCGTGGGCGCACGGCGTCGCCTGTGGGGGTGCCTGGTGCGGTTGTCGACCGGAGACAGAGAGGCTGGAGGCTGGAGGCAGGACACTGGACGGATGTGCATGCGGACGGGCGAAAAATTGTCGGAGCACGAAAACGGTTGGATGGTGCGGATGCGGGTGGTGTCGGAGAGACGGCCGCACTACGCAGGCGGTGGCGACTGGACTTGGAGTTCCAGTGTCCACCGCTGACTCAGGTAAGTCGAAGCGGAGACAGCGCCCTGACGGGCGCGGTGGCCGATAAGCGGCTGCACGGAGGGGCTGATCCGGCTGGCCGCCCGTGAGTGAGTGTGCAGGGGTGGCGAGGCCTCGTTGGACCTCGTCCTTTCGAGCCTTTCGAGCCTTTCGAGCCTTTCGAGCCTTTCGAGCCTTTCGAGCCTTTCGACGCCGAGGTCGAGGCCACCCCCGCTGTCTAGGCCGTCCCCGCTGTCTAGGCCGCCCCCGCCGGCTGACCGCACACCGACGCTAATCCTAACCCAAGCCACCCACCCCACTGGGCCCGCACCCCCCGCCGGCCACCGTTCACGGACCGGTCGGGACTCTGGTCCTCGCTCGAATGGGGTTCTAACGATATACGGGTGACACAGACTCCGAAGCCTCGCCTTTAGAGTACCAGCGACGCCGCAGACAAACCTAACCAAAACAGCGGGCGACATCTGCGATATGTGAGTGCACGGCATCGTCCACCGCATCGTCAATTTTGAACTCCGGAGAGTTTCCGGTCACGCTGTCGTTGCCCGAGCCGGGAATGCATCTCGATAATCTCGACACGGAAGGAAGAGTGCTTAATCCGGAGTCCGGACGTTCATCGGCGGGCCGAAGTGGGCGGGTTATATGTTTCCGTATCGTAGAAGTTCCAGCAGCGACAATCGAAACCACCGCATGAGGCCAGACCACCGTGCTCCGCCTCCGCCTCCGTCCAAACCGCAAACTTCCGAACCTCAAACCTCAAACCTCAAACCTCAAACCTCAAACCTCAAACCTCAAAAATTAGTGCGGTCACGGTCGCAGTCGCGATCGCATACGTCCGCACACCGCACACCGCACACCGCACACCGCACACGACCAGAAGACCAGAAGACCACAAGAAACGCCCTCGTGACATGGACTAGTACTTGTGCCCACACCATGGCCGTGGCTAACCCGAATAGCCCGACCGCCAATTACGCTCGAGTAATGCCAATGCTCGCGCAAGCGCGTCCAGCCAATCACGAAAAAGCTATTGGGTAATTCATCCGCTAAGAGACGTGGCGTGGCGTGGACGCTCGGCAGTCACGGGAGGCTGGAGGTTGGAGGCTTGAACATCTTCCCTGCCTGGAAGAAGATGCAGCGACTCGTGATTTGATGCGGGGTTCTTTTTTCTTCTCCCCGGCCGTTGGTATGTAGAGACAGGAGAGCTGTGCATACATTTCTGTTGAGGATGAGGATGTGTTTCGACGCAGTTTTTCTTCCACTGTTTTTCAGTTTTTTGTTTTTCGTCGCGACTCACTCACTCACGTCCGTGAGGGACTGACCGGGCTTGCCGCAGGTTATCAACACGTCGGGGGCCCGGGGCTTCTCTGGGAAAGGAGGAGAGGGAAGGCTGGCGTGCATGGGACAGGAAGTCTGTGACGCCCGACCGCGCGACCGTGTGCCTCCCTTTCTCTCGCAGCCCTTTTTTTGTGTCTTTGTTTCTTTCCTTCTTTTTTCTTTTTCTTTTCATGCAAGACTTAACTAAGGCGGAGGCGGAGAAACAAGTGTGTGTGTGTCGGGGTGGCCGCGCGATTGGTGTGGTGTGGGACAGGGTTCCCCACGGTTCTCGCGCTGGGTGTGGGCCCACAAATATGTGCCGCTAGCCACAGAGAGCATGTCTGGAGGGGAACGGGGATTCCGTTGGTCCTTCGAGAAGAAAGTCTGCAAGGAATGAGGGGACTGCATCCTGGGTGCGTGCGAAAGGGTGCGAAGGGGTGCGAAGTGCTGGCGCTGGGTCAGACAAGGTCAGATCTTGCTCCCACACACCCACGCACACGAGCAGCGAGAGTGGTGGGTGACGCCGCCGACCGACCGACAGACCGTGGATCCCGAGAGATAAGCATGTGTGTGAGCAGCCTGCGGGAAAAGGGAAGATGGCAGGCGATCCGGTGCTCACCCCCCTCCCCCCCGCCCCCGCCCCCGCCCTCGCCCCTGGAACTGGAAGACGGCAGCGGTCATCACAGCCTGTCGGTCATGCCACGACAGAGTGACGATATCATCATCATCAGCAGCAGTAGCAGCACTAGAGTGGGATGTAGCATCATCGCACTGGGAGGCGAGCCAAGCCGGATGGATGACGAAGAAAAAACTCGCACCGGGATGAAAGAAGGGCGCACGCGTGAGCTGCAGGTCACAGCAGCAGGTACTTTGTTTCGCTGTCCGTTGCGCGTGCTGCGAAAGCCGCTGACCGTCCCTGTGTCCAGAGATTAGGCCCGTTTTACTCTGGCTCCATGCCATCCACCGTCATCCTCCTCCCCTCCCCGTCGAGATACCGTAGCGTCGTATGTATCGTGGGCTATCTGAAGCGTTGGATTTTAGTCGCAATATCTAGCGGCGGCGGAAGTGGCGGACAGATGGCCATGGGCGGGGATGAGGAAGTTACCCTCTGAAGAAGAGGCAGAACACGAAGACGAACCTGAAGGAAAGCACGGGTTCCCCTCACATGGCCAGGCCAGGCGGTCGCTACCAGCACTTTGTAGGTATAGACTTCTCCATCTGCCCACGAACTAACCAGTAGTTACAGCAGTTGGTGTTGGACCCTGTTTCTGTGCTGTGGTGGTGAGCGACGAGCGTCATGCCATGGGCCTGGCCTGACTGCTGCCACTTCTTTTTTTTTCTCCACAGAAGTTGGTGCCAACTTTGAAGTGGAACACTTGGGGTTGCTGGGTGGCTGATCGACAGACTTGACTTGCCTTTGACTCTCGCCTCCGCCAACCAAACTTCCTTGTGCATTTCAAACTCACCCATCCCCCCCCAACCCCCCCCCCCCCCCCCAACCCCACATTCACATTCACAACTCCATCGCAACGCAACCCTCACTCACGCGCTTCATCCATCTATCTTCCCCCGCAACCTCTGCCAGTCGGCTTGACCTGACCGACCGACCGATTGACCAGCTCTCATTCCGCACCGAGACAGCCAATTCGCCCGACGCCGCTCGCTCCCATCCTGCTATCTCCATACCGCACCCCGTTCTGCCACCGTAGAGTACCCCGTCCTGCACCCCGTCCCGCCGCCGCCCTCTTGCATGGGCACCGTCTCGTGGGTGATCTCTGCGAATTCCTTTTTTTTGCGGGATTCGTTCACGGAGCGTTTCTTCTTTTTCTGCCAGCTCTTGTTGTGGGGTGCGCGTTTCGCGGGGCCTGCATCTTTGTCGTCGTTGTCGACGCTCACGTCGCTCCCCTCCAGCCGCGATATATTACTGGCTGCCGCATTGGTGCCTGCTTTCTGGCCCTGCACTGCCATTATTCGGTATCTGTCTGCGCGACCGAGTTGCACCACCACCACCTCCACCACCACCACCTCGTCTCCTGTGCCTAGTCCTGCTGCTGCTGCTGCTGCTGCTGCTGCTGCTGCTGCTGCTGCTGCTGCTGCTGCTTCTGTTGCCTCTGCCTTATCTATCGACGGTTCCGACACACACCGCTACCACCACCACCACCACCAGCAACACCACCAGCAGCAACTCCAGCAACACCATCTGCGGCCGCACTCTACCACAACCACAACCACAACCACAACCACTACATCCACCACCACACCACCTCCACCCCCACCACAACCTCTACAGCTTTTCTACCCCCCCAGCCATAGCTACACAGGAAACAAGATATCCTGCATATCTGCACTGATCCAGCTATCTTATCTCTTCCTCTATCTCAACACTCCGGCTTCAGAGATAGTCCCATCCTGCTACTTAATCGACCGTCAGCCCATTTCCGGAAAGTCTGCATACGACTCGCATGCCCCTGCCACAGACAAGCTCTCGTCCTTCTACGTCCATTACAGCTGCCTGCATCGCATCACGCCGTTCGGTACTAGATACTCCGCCGACGCACACGAGCAGTCTCACAGCTACGGCGACATCAATAGCTACACCAACAGCAATAGCAACAATACCCTTCGTCCATTCGCATTGAACTGGCGGCTGCAATAGCACCAGAAATAGACACCTCATCAGAAACATCATCCCCAGCACAATCCCCCTTGTCGAGCGGCCCAGGAGAACTAAACCGCACCAAGTCAGGGAAGGTCTCAGGTACGTCGCTGCTGTGTGTGTCCGTGTATCTACGTCTCCGTCCCTCGCCGAGCCATCTACTCTGCCTATCTCTGCCTACCTTGTCCTCGTTGCACACCTACCCTATCTCAACAAATACCCCGGTCCGCCAGCTTACATAGCTGTCTCGCACCCCCAACACCTATCTCCCTACCTCTCCCGAGCTCAGCTGGCTTATGACTCCCTCCCTCCCGTTCCTTCACTTCCTCCCGTTTCATGCCTTCCTTCTCGCTACCTCTCTACAACACAAACCTCCCTACCAAGTCTTCGCAAACTGATAGGATCTCCAGAACAATATGGATACCAGAACTCCGCGACATTCGACATCATCAACATTAGCGACCATGGCCGACCGACCTGTCCCTTTCACGTCGCTATCGGATCCCACACCCTCCTCGGAACTCCGTAGACCATCCTCGTCAGCCTCGTCGAAATCGAGCATCGCGGACACGTACACGTCGATTTCCGAGCCCATGCATATTCCCTCGAAAGGCCGCAACAACCGTCGCGAGAACTACAAGCCGCGATATTCGACAGCTGTCGCAGCTCTGCTCGCCAGCACGGTGATCCCTTCGCCGAGGAAGTCGACGCGACGGAGTAAGGCGGATGCATACTCCATGCCACCGACACCGCCGACTCATGGCGTCTGCGTGGATCCTCTCGAAGGGGAGGACGATGAGAGCAGTCTACCCGAGTACATACCGAAGACGCCCCTCGAGCTGCTGCTCAGCCCTCCCGATGTCGACATCTACGAGTCGACCGCCATGTCCAGGTCGACCAGCGAAGGCGTGCTTTCGACTCGCTCGACCTCGACCGATTCCGTGCCATCGCTCGATACCGACAACGAATCCGAGACTTCGAGTACCTTCGGATCGCCGCCGTCGTCCCGTCGCCGCTCGAGCGGAGATTCCCGGACGCGCATCAAGACCAAGACACCGCGAACGTGCGTGGACCACCCCCTGTTGGAGAAGACGCCGGCACCCGTCGAGTTTCTCCCCGAAGATACCCTAAAACGAGGCGCGTTACGACTGAATCTCGTGTCCAACCTTACCGCGTCGCTACGCGTGCTCAAGTCGGCGGCACGGAGCTTCTCGATCCTGACTGCGTCCGCCGCCGCGATCCAGCAACCAGACTACCTCACGCGCAGCATCCTGTCGATCTCACCGCAGTACACGGACGAGAGACGACCAACCCTATTCGAGGATGAGGCCACGCCGGCATTGCGTCGCTATCTCAACCCATGGACGACCTCCTACGACGAATCCCCCTGCACCGGAGCTGTCCAGATGCAGACGTACAAGATCTCGGGTCGGTCAAAGTCGGGTCGAAGCGGAGTACGGAGCACGCCGAAGCCGGAAGAGGTAGCTGAACCCACGGTGCAACGCGGGGTCCGGGAGAATCCAGACTTCCTGCGAGTCATCGTCCTGGAAATGAACATGCGACGCGAAGGAAAGCTCAGCGACACGGCGCAAGGAAAAGCTAGGTACATGCTGCCGCCACGTCAATCATGCAAGTTGCGTGCGATCGGAGACCCTGGTCGGTGGGCATGCATCTACGCGTGAGAACCGCAGGTCCCGTGCTGGCCGCACCATCGACGCAACCGGTACAGATCTTGAAACTTTTGTCGACTCCGCATACACTGCGACTGAAATTTTCCGGTCGCATCCTTCCATCCATCCATCTTCATCGACCTTGTACATTACATTACGGACTCGTACCAGTTCCTTCTTCTTCTTCCCCTCCTCCGCTGCTACTACTACTATATACACCTCGTGTCGACAAGAACTATCGAATAGACCAATCGGCAAAGCAGCACCCATCCCTACCTTCGTCCCTCGCAGTCATATACTTTTATTTCGCTCCGCCGCGGGAAGCGTTCCGCTAGGGACGTGCGATGACGTTGTCGCAGGGGGGCCGGGGAAGGGGATGAAGGGGTGACTGTTTTTCTTTCTCTGATGCTCTTTACTTTGTGGTTTTTTTCTTCTTTGCATCTTCTTAATGTACTGCAACTTGGCGACTGGGGTTTGGTTTTTTTCTTCTTTTCTTTTGGGATCGACTCTTTTTTTTCTTTCGTTTTCTTTTATTTTTTTCCTTCTGTCTTCTTTCTTCGGATAAGCGCGCGTGCGTTGGGTAGCATAGCATCATTTGCATTGGGAGGTGTGTGGTCGGGTCGGGTCTGGGGTTTTATTACTTGGTTTGGTTTCATTTTGTTTTTGTTTCATAGGGACGGTCGGGCGCGAGGAATGGAGGAGGGGTGGTGGTTGATTGTGATATCCTACGGATGGAGAGTTGAGAGTTTACTGATACATGTACAGTACTCGCGGATGGATGGCACGGTGCTGGCTGGGTGTACTGGATTGGATGGGAACGAAGGGTGTATTGTATATCTAGGGTTTTCATGTGCACGGAAGGGGAAGGGGGGGAATCTTGTATATAATTTATGTATGCTATGTATACCTAGAGCCACCTACTATATGTACTATACTATGGTTAGAGCTCGAAAGAGCTTGCTTTCTTTGAAGGGTTTTTTTTTCTCTTTCCCTGCAGGGCGAGGGCGAGGGCAAGGGATGACTGGCTGACTGACTGACTTGTTCGATTGACTTGTTTTATTGACTTGTTTCTCACTGCAGTGCTGCGATTGAGTGTCTGTCGTGATTTAACGTGATTTAACGTGATTAGAGTGTCGTGATTGAGTGTGAAACCACGCAATTGTGGAATTGGGGGTTGTTTTGGTGATTAGTATGGTGATTAGTATGGAAATTGGGATTGAATCGAGATCGAGGGCAGTGGGAGTACGTAACAGCCGGTGGGTGCGCATTCCACTGGAGCACAGGAGCTGGCTGGGGGGGGATCAGGGGATGCGGAGTTTTGCCGGTGAAGCGGACACAGGTGGGAAAGTACCCGGAGATTGGATCGTACCCTGCTTGGGACTCTGGCGGGCGGGCGGGGGGTGCACGTGTAGTCTACTCTACGTGTAGGAAGTACTTCGGTTCGGGCCAGGGCGACCGGCGATCGCGATGGCGACATGGGATATCGAATATCGGACAGAGGGGGGTATCAGCGACCGGCCCGAAGGCGAAGGCGAAGGCGAATCCGATGTCACTCCCTCCCACTCCCGAGGCCCGAGTTTCGCTCGCTCGCTGCAGAAGATACATGACGAAGTATCATCCGACAGCATAACCACCTATGCCATACCTATGCCACGGATCATCCGACGAATCCGACGAATCCCCCTCCTTCCTACGTGGTCACGCCCACCAGTCGTCGCGCCCCACCTACCTGGCACCCACCCACCCACCCACTCGTTGCTGAGGCATGCACAGCAGCACCAGAGCTCAGGGGGGCACGCACGCATCTCCGCGGAGTGCCGGTATCGATGCGGGAATGCGCGGGGGTCTTGGTCTTGGTGTTGGGGTTGGGCGCGGTATGCACCTCTGCCCAGTGCCCATGGGCATTGGGGTGCGCTGTCGCTGTCGTTTCGGGCTGCGATGCGCTGGAGTCGGTGCGACGGGAAGGGAGCGCTCGGAAGCGGTGAGAATCGGTGCGAAGGGAGCACTCGGGCGCGGCGCACGTGCAGTATAGTATGGTGGGGCGGGGCGCTGGAGGCGGAGGTCAACGGCTGGACACGGGATCGTCTGTCGGTCGGTCTGTGTCGATGGGTTGGGCCTTTGAGGCGGTTGGGTGGATGCCTGCGTGCGGAGAACTTTACCGAGCCGGCCGGAATGGGACGCTGGATGCCGTATGCGGGCCCCTGGGCTTGCAGGTTAGCGGGGGTCGCATCGTCACGGCTCGGATGGGAATATGTGAATATGTGATGGAGGTGTACTGGGGTGGTGGTGGGGTACGACCGGCGGGGTCAGGTACGTTACTGGCAGTATACGGTACTCGGGATAAGTAGAGGGGGCCCTATCGGACGACAAAGGTGACGGGGAGGTGGAAAGGCGAGTGATACACTGTGTCTGCCACTAGAGATTCTCGCAACGGACGGCTGGGATGGGCGAGATGGCTGCCCATTTCCGAAGGAGCCTCGGTTTTCTGCGAAGCTTCTGACCATCGATACAGTGCCTTACACCGATGTAGGTTCTTACGCGCGGGCGAAAAGGCTGGTCTGTCGGGATTCCTGACGTTTCCGTGTAGTACGTCCTATATCTGCGTATCTTAGATGGCTCTGGGTTGCGGCAGGTGTACGAGCCTACTACTTCAGAACGATACCATCAGCGGTTGCACCAAGAACCTCACCTGCTCGCATGTGAAAGCGGGTGATGCGCTGTGATCGCGTCACATGGAGATGGGGAGGAAAGTGCTCACCGCAAACGAGTCGCTTCACTGAAAAACCAAACAAACGGAAAGAACTGAAGATGGATTGAGGAAGGGTACGAAGGTATAGAGAGGACGTAAGTTCTGCGTAAATATCGACGTGCCTGTTCTCAAGATTAGATGAGATTAGAAAAGCAACTTCGACAAGCAGCACGATCGAGCTGAGAACCGGAATTGTTAGATCAACTCGTCAGGTCCTACCAATATTCTCGTGCTACCATCAAACGTAAAGACGTTCTCCCCTCCCTGCCGTAACCAGCTGTGCGGACGTGGTGCTGTTTGTTGTGCTCACAGTTTCATCATTCCCCGCCATCATCCATGCCCCCAGTCTTACCTATCCTCTACCCACGTGTGTCAATAAAAGGGGTGCAAGCTCCAAGTTGGGGAACGGAGGGGAAAGAGCGAGGCAGCAACACGGAGGTAACGTGTAAGGCACACCAATCTGAAAGTCCAATATACCTACTCAAGCACGAGAGGAGCAGGAAACACGGGAAGCGTTTGTGAGGTACTTTTGAGCACAACTCGAGAGCAGTCAAAGATCGAAGGTAGACCCTCAATTGTCGGCAACAATAGAGGGAGGCAATGGTAGGGGCCTGCCGGTAGGTAACATGCAGGCTGTGATGGAGCAGTGAAGGAGAGAGTTTGGAAATTGAGGAGGACGGGTGTACCAAGCCTGCTGCATATCGCCTACTCGGAACTCAGTCGCTTGGCCATGAACCCCAACGGAGATCATCGGGATAAAAGCAAACCAATTTATAATACATACCGACAACGACAGGCGGAACTAGGTATGTCATTCGCTGACTCGATACCGCATTCAATCAACATCCTGAATGTCGGCGGCCTTATTTCGGTTCTCTGTAGTTAAACTTGCAGCATTTCCGCTACTTATTCTTCCATGGTTGGGGACATCTAGTGCCGGAGTAAGTGGACATTCGGATCACGGGAATCAAAATCTAAATGCGGTATTACAATGGCATTTATTAAATCTATTTAATCTTTTTTTTTTCCAGGCGTCTGCAGCCAACTGGCCCCGCCGGGAACGAAAATCACAATATCGGGGCCAGTTATTGCCCATTTTCTTCAATAAAACACCCCCTGGACTGCACTGTTGCGCTCGTTGCATCAGTTGGATTGTTCCACCGGTCTGTCGCCGTTGACCAGGCGTCCACAGCCAACTCCAGAGCTCCATGGCCCCGCCGGGACGGGAAATTCCAATATCTCCGCCAGTTCTTGCCCGTTTTCTTCGATAAAACACTCATCTGGATCGCACGAGCACGCTCATTCCATCGGTTCCATTCTTCCACAGGTCTGTCACCATTAACCGCGCTTCCGCAGCCCACTCCACAGCTCCGGAGCTTCAGCGCTCCACAGCCCACCGGGACCGAAAATTACAATTTCTCGGCCAGTTCTTGTCAATTTTCCAAGGTGCAGATATAAAAAGCTCATCAACAGGTTAGCGATAATCTGGAATAGTAGCAAATTTGTAGGCAATTGTTTTCCATTTATGTACACAATGTTCTTTGTCACAACAATTAGCCACCATATTGTGCTGCCAAGACGTCCCGATCGGGTAATCGGGCGTGCCACGACTACCTAATCGGAAACTCAGCCGTGCTAAAGCAGGGCTGTGGCAGCCTTGCCATGGACATTCCCGGGGCCTCCCCACACTAAATCATTTTTCGTCTATTTATTTTGGATTTTGGTTGCCACTCTACCACGTTTTAAAAAAAAATCGGGGTCTTTAAAAATAATCTCCTTCCTCTTCTCTATCGCTGTAAAGTACCCTTTTTTTTAATTGGGTTGTTGTGAACTAACCGAACGTCAAAAGTGGGGATGCTTTCACTCCGGAACTAGATGTCCCCAACCATATTGCGCTGCTATCAATTGTCACGTGCTATCATCAGGAGCGATATCTTATCGCATCTCACGGGAAGATGGAGGCATCTTATCTCATCCAACACGGATAAGGCGTCATCTTATCGCATCTCATCTCCCTACGAGATCAACGTCACGTGAACGGCTCGGTGCGCACGTGCAACGTAATCTGCCCTGTAGTACTGGTAGGCGTACCTAGAGGAACGTACAGAAAGAGATGCAATGTAAACCTGGCTCGCGCCCTTCTCTGGCAGAAGGGAGTATGACGATCCAGGTAAAGCTGCCAAATAGGTACCTAGTACCTACTCTACTCCATTGTTTGCCCGACTCCTCGTAACACGACCACATACTCAGATCTCTATATCCCTGCTATGGTATCCAGAGAGCCTTCGGCAACAACTTCCAAGGCGATCCCTGGCGGTACATGTGTGAGAGCACCACTGATGAGAACAACTTCCAAGGCGATCCCCGGCGGTACATGTGTGAGAGCACTACTGATGAGAACATCACCAATGGGAACCCCACCAATGAGAGCACTACCATCAGAAAGCTGGCGAGTAGGTCTGAGAGCTGAGTAATGGCCCGCACGTTAAACGAAATAGCCGTAGGTGAGATTTCGGTAAGACTTCACTGATTCCGAGTGATATATTGTGTCATTCGGTGCCCTTGCTGCCACCGCTACGCCTCTCTCCATGGGTTGGCACTTACTGTCGGCTGTCATGAATGCAAGTATCTCTCGTATCATGGTCGGATGTTAGGGTTAATAGCTGTGTCTTTTGCTTGCTTCGGATTCGGGATCGTGGCGACGAGTCGAAAAGAAATGACCAGCAGTGACCATGTTCACATGAAGCAAATTTCCCAAGTGGTGGTGAGGGCACTCGAAATAAAATGTTTGGCTGTTGGGGTTGATAGCTTGCGTTTTGTGCTTGCTTCGTTCGGAGTCGGGTTCATGATTTAGAAATCAAGGGAAGTCACAAGCGGTGATCATGGCTCAGTTGGAGTGAAATTCCCAAGTGGTGAGGGTACCGGCACCCGGTACTCAAGGTCCACACCGTTACAAGGGTAGCAACCTTGGGGAGAACGCTCTTTTGCTGCGGTTCAAACCCAGGTTCCGGAATTTCTTTTTTTTTCCGGGTTCTGACGAGGATGATCCAGTTTACAAATGTAATGACGAGGTTGATCCAGTTTTTTTTGTCTGTCTAGTTAAGCGCTCAGCTGCCACGCTGTGCCGGCTTCAGAACAGAATAGTTCCATACCAATCACCCAACCGTTTAACCTCTTTATCCCACCGTGACAGCTATCCAAGCTGTCAAGAAGATTTCGATAGCTTTCATGCCTGATTATAGTACATGTCACGGCATAGCTGGATTGCAGCATACAATGCTGCAATGCCACCGGTCTCAATCGAAAACATGCATGCTGAAAGACAGAAGATTGTGGAAACTAAAAACCGCGGGTCTAAATACGAGCAGGAGGAGGAGGAGGAGGTGGTGGTGGTCGTGGTGGTCGTGGCAGAATGTGAACCACCACTCACCTGTGTTGCTAAAGGGCAACCCCCAAAGAAGCGGATGACCAAGGGTGAAATAAGAAGGAAGTACCAGCAGGCGCATTAGGGAGTACTGCCAGATATCCCACATCGTGCCCCACCGCAGACCCGCTGTTCAAAATGCAAAGGCATAGGCCATTGTGCCTCTACGTGCAGAAAGGCGCATACATAGGCACCGTTACTCTCCGCAGAAGTCTTGCGTTGTATGGTCTAGTAGGTACTAATGCTGCATGCCAGAATCAATTGATGATGTTCTCTCTCTGTGGTATTCTTTTCTGACACTGGCGCGCTGGCGCTGTGGCGCAGCACGGCAGTCGAGCGCTTATTGTGGATTACCCTCGGCATTAAATTTGTAAACTGGATCATCCTCGTCTAAACTAAAAAAAAACAACTGGATTGCCCTCGTCTAAAAAAAGAAGACTGGATTACCCTCGTCATTAAATTTGTAAACTGGATTATCCTCGTCAAAACTCGGTTTTTTTTTAAACATCGTTCGTGAGTGTGTCGAGTGACGGTAGCGTACCCGTGCTCGTAAAGGTAGTTGGAACGCTCGTACTAGGAAACAACAACACAGAAGATACTCTTGTTGCAAGAGAGTTAAGTATACCCATTGGTAGCCTTATGAAACCTACGTTCCGCTGGCGTTATCGCATGTACTGCGGCATCGGGTGAACTAAGTGATATCTCGTGATGCGGATTTACCGTCCATACCTGCCGAGAGGATCAGGCACGACTTGATTACTGTTTTATTGTATATCTCTGGGTTCTGCACATCCGACAACATGCTTGAGCCTAGCCCCAAGCCCACGTATTGCATGCACTTTCGACCTTTCAAGGGATCTGTGTCGCCTAGATGTTTCCTGCAGTTACGAGCAATTGCATGCTAAATCACTCGGCAGGCTACCGAAAACAGGCGCGTGATCGGCGGCTGGAGCTTTTTATTAGCTGGAATGACAAGGGCGCCGAGTGGCGGAATGTGAAACGTCGATGTATTACAGCGCAGCTTCCATTGGGTGTCGAAACTGACCTATCGAAATACGGCACAGTAGAGGCAGCACAGATCCGCTTCCCCGGTTTTTGACCATGATACTCAGTTTTACACAAGCGGAAATATCGCTCCTGCTACTAGTTCGGCAATCTCTATCTACAGCAATGTTCACGGGTCTCATAATGCAGTGTGATACGAACGAAATCAAACCTTTATTTTTAGGAGCCTAGCAGAAAGAAACCAATATCCGAACCCTCCTGCAAAGCCTATATGTACTCGTATGTACACGTCTTGGTTTCATCAGTTTTTGATGATGACGACCTTGACGTAGTCGTTCCTGAACACCTGGCCCCCCACGTAGCTCTCGCCGCCGAACCTCTCGGTGCACGAGGAGATCAGGAGCTGCGCAGCCCAGACAACCCAGTGGCACTTCATTCCGTGCAAGTACTTGCCACAGGTAGCAATCCTCGCTGTCTTGTGAACGGCATGGTTCGTGCAAGAGCCGTCGTAAGGCTTGGTCTGAGGACAGTTCTTGTTGATTTCCCACTTCTTCATGCTGTTGGCGGCGACCTGAACATGCTTGCTCAATGGACTACCGGAGGACGTCTCGCAGAGGAAGTTGATATCACTGAAGAACTTCTTCATTTCGTCGACCTCGGAGGAGCTAAGCTCTTGGCCGCGCGCGTTGTTGTATTCCATGACCCTAGAGATATCCTCGCTCGTGACTCGACGCGCAATAGGTTCTGCGGCAGAGGTAGCCACAGGCTCGTTCTTGCGGATGATCGTGCGAGTTGCGAAATCATCGCGGTCGGTATTAAAGGCGGTCGACCGAGTAATAACCGAGTTGGTCGGGCGCTCAACCTGGCGGGTTGTCGAGCGCTCATACTCGCGGGTGGTCAGGAGCTCGTACTCGTGGGTAGTGGTACGAGAGCTGACCACATCGCGATCGGTGCTGGTGGCCTCAGAGCGCGATTTAGTTGACCTAGTGGACAGCTCGTTCTTGCGGATGATCGTGCGAGTTGCGACATCATCATGGCCGGTATTAAAGGCGGTCGACCGAGTAATAACCGATTTGGTCGGGCGCTCAACCTGGCGGGAGATTGACCGAGTGATAACCGATTCGGTCGGGCGCTCAACCTGGCGAGTAGTCGGGAGCTCGCACTCCCGGGTAGTGGTACGGGAGTTGACCACCTCGCGATCGGTGCTGATGACCTCAGAGCGTGACTTGATGGACCTAGTGAACAGCTCGTCCTTGTGGGTGGTGAGACCTCGATCGGTTCTCGCGACGACAGAGCGCATCGAGGGCTTGTCATCGTGGTTGTGGTGGTGGTACGTGTGCGTCGGAACGATCCATTCCTTCGTGGTAGAGCGAGTTTCGAAGACTGGTGCGCGAGTCGTCGTCTGGTCAGCGCGTGAGACCGTCGATGAGACCGTGATATCACAATCGGTACGGCTGGAAGGAGCAGTCGCCTGTACCTCGCGGGTCGAAGGAAGGGTCGTGTGCTCTTCACGGGCGATTCTAGTCACCGTCGGTCTCTTGCGGGTGATAGTGGTCGTGATATCTCTATCACACATAAAGGTGGTAGGGCGACCACTGCGAAAGAGAGTTAGAATATCTAAACCGCGGGTATGCGTGAAGGTGGGGAAAGCATACACATCGGTGCTCCGGACGGTCACACGCGAAACGGAAGGGTGGTTCAATGAACAACCCTCATGAATGTGTGAGCAGGCCACGTTGCCGTCGGTGATGGTACGATCGGCGGAGACGGATGTGGTCAACCACAAGAGGGCGAGCGACGCACGGAGGAGGTGCATTATTGTCGATTTTGATCTTGGATTATGGAGGTCGGTAGAGAAGCTGGATAAAGGATGTTCGAGAAGGATGATGTGTAGCTTCGAAAGGAAGAAAAATGCTAACGGTTTTATGAAGGGTTGGAGTGGGATAACCGAGTGCGAGGCGAAGGATGTACCCTAGTTATAGGGTAGGGTGAGCCCTATCTGAGGGGTTTTGAATGGCACTCCGTTGAGCCGCGTGATTTCTATTTCACTTCGAAATTGAAAGCTGAAACTCAACTGTCTCGCACAAAACACCCACGTTCCGCTGGTGCAGCAGCTACTCCTGCCAGAGTACAACCAAACCTTCGAGAAAGTAAATCGCACTCCTCCCTCACCCCCCGAAACAGCTTCATTCCCGAGTTTGAGTGCAACACTCATTTCACCGATCCGGCAGGTATACGCTGATCTTGACCGGGCCATAACCACAGACTCGACACCGCCCGAAACTCAAACCAAAAACGCCTTCGCACCAACAGGTTCTCGGTACAATGGCTCCTCCGGTAGAACCCGAGCCAGTGATGCGAACGCGGGCTTCCATCCTCCACTTTCGGTTCCTTCGGATGATGTGGCGCTTGAAGCATCTCCTAACCAACAGGATCATTCCGCAGGGCGTCGGTAACACCAGCATGAACGCCAATGAAGCCGACCCCGAGATGGAAATGCCACCTGTCTATGTCTGCCCCATGGCCCCTAACCATCCTGTCGAGATCATGCGTACGACCAGTTTTCTTCATGGTAGGGCGTCCGTGCTCCAGAAGATCGAAAATGTCACTAACAGAAGCCCAGTCATCAGCCAACCCCGCATGAGCCCATTGTGTGTCACTCATGGCTGCTTGTGCATTCGCCTCGTCAATCTTGAGCCACGGGTGTACTCCGTTTGGCACGGTGGACCTTTCCGAAGTGCACCAGACTCTTCGTATGCGGTCGAAGAGATGACGATCGCAGCTGACGAGCTGGATGAACGCGAAGAAAACAGGGCCCGTGCGTTCATGACCACCATGGCCCGATCTGGTCGGGATGAGGCCATGCCTCCCCGCACTCTTCAAACGCTTTCGCAAGTTATGAACCGTCCCTCAAGGGTATCTGATGAGTACCTTGTGAGAGTGGTCAGGGGACCTCTGCGTTTTGGGCCTGACGCCGACTACTAATCCTGACGGAGGACAAAGGCATATGTCGCTCATTGTCGGTGAGTTCCATTTCCACTCCGGCTTCATAGCATGTAACTTGGTTTCGCTAATATTATTCCCATCGATTGTCAGTGTACGTTTGGAAATCTCCAAGAAATGGTTCGGAAAATGGCAAAACTGGGGGGTACAATTGGCGACGTTTCATTGCTGCGATGTTACTTTAGTTTACTCTCAGGATTTTGTCAGAAACCATGGAAATAGTAGGAGTGAAGTCGCCGCGACTTTGTACAGTGATTGGCAGACCCCCGACGTTTTTCTGAGGTGTCTATCTGTATTGTAGTGATATCTGTAGCTATGTAGTTCTGCACATGGCTCAATGGGCATCCAGGAAGATATAGGGGACCATATGGGTTTGAGCCAGTGTTCTACATAGGCCAATCCCGACCAATTTTGAGCATGGTCGAGAATCGAGATAGGTCGGGATATATCCAGAACAAAAATCTTCAGGTCGGGACTGCAATTCCGTCACCTACCAACCACTCATTGTCGAACATCCTGCCGCAGGATGGGAAGTAGCCGCCATAAGCCTGGATAGTCGTCATCGATTTCATTTGGTGGTTCCGGGCCGCGTTCGACCCCATCAAACTTCACCTGATGTACTAGCCGACGGGCGTGGTGAGAGTGTCAGAGTGAATCAAGCCTGCGCAAACGACCCTCAACTCCCAGGTGCTATTGACGGTGAGGACTCGCGGAGGCTCTGCTACTCTTATAAATCGTTCGACGACAACCATCCATCCTTCCTTCCCACACCATCTCCCCCGTTCCTGCCACAATACCGACAGCAACAATCTCGACAACTTTCTTCGCTCTCCGCAACACTTTTTTTACGGATTACCCAAAAGATCCACGATGACCATCAGGTGCTACTATGCCCTGATCGGTGCAGCCTACACCGCAACAACCGAGGAGATAAAGGCAGCGATCGTGCTGGCCATTAAGGAGGTGAGGAGAGGCGCAATACGGTTTCAGGATGTAAGTCCGCGCAATTCATTCTTGATATCATAATCCACTACCATGATTACGTAGACTGATAGGTACTATAACTATGTAGCTCAGCGCGGCCGAGAACGTGCTGACCCGCCAGCGGTGTCGCGAAGAGTACGCCCGACGGCATACTCGTGCCGGATGTAAGTTTCTTTCCCTGGCGCATACCTACTTGCGTTGCTGGTAATTGTGTTAGGCCATGTGTGCATTAGTCAGCCAGTCAGATTGGAAGCCGAGTCGCCGCTCGTGAGAAAAGGCCGCCAGCCCAGCCTTTCCGAGCTGCCAGTAGAAGTCGCCCGCCGGTTTGGCATCTACTCGACGTGTCCACTCCGTTCTCTGCTCGCAAAGCGGCAGACGAAAGCTGGCACCTTTCCTCAGAAGCTTTGGCAAGCAGCAGATACGAAGCGGTACGCGGCGGCGAAGGAGAGACTGGTGTTGGTGGCGGAGGGCGGGGCCACGGTCGATACGATCTGCGGACGTATGGGGTGGACCGCTGGCGCGTGATGGCAGGCGGACGGGCCGAGCGCAGAGTCGGGAGCAGAGGTGAGTGAACCCCCTGATATTCCATGCCCACAGGTTACGTGGTGAGGTTTTTTACCTACGGGTTTTCCCCTAAAAAAAACATCGTTTTCCTGGCCGCTGCGCGAAGGGACGAGGTTTTTGCTGTTTGGGTTTTGCCTACGGGCCGAGTCAGCGTGGAGTACTCGTGTGAGGGAGGGAGGGAGGGTTATCTGGTCAGGACAGGATATATCCGGACCGACCATGCATAGGTCGGGATACGTCTGGCTAACAAAAAACAGATTAGGCGCCCGAGCCGCTCGGCCCACCGCCGGAGGCTAAGGGAAACTTCGCTGCTGATGGTTAACCTGATATCTGCCGACCATGGCAGACTTGGGTGGATAACGTCTGGTAGGTCTACTTAGTGTCGGTGAAGGAATCCTGTTAAATGGCCTCGAGCATCAACGCGGACGTGTGATCGGCGGGTGATCGACTCAATGGCCGACTCCATGACAAACTCGCTTGATATCACGAGGGGAATTATCATGGCATGACCTTGGATGATGGAAATGACGGAACTTAGGTTTTCATGCTCTGTATCTCTTTATATACTCTCAATGTTGCCCGTTCGTTCTCTTCTGTATCTAAACAACCACGTTTTTATCTCTCTCTGTCTCTCGCTCAGATCCACTGTGACCAGACCCTCCAACAGTTAGTCAGTTGAAATGGGAATACCGGTTGAAACAGTTCAGTTTGGGTTGATTTTGTTCCCGGTTCAGTTGGGAATAGAGGCTGTCAGTTCCCAGTTGGTTTAGGTAGGTCTAGCAGTTGTTCCCGGGAAAACTGGCAGAACTATCAGTTCAGCAGATGAACTGGCAGTTTAGTTAGGGGAGGGAAATTGGCCAACATCGAGTCCTATTGGTCTGGAAAAAGCGATAAAAATGGAACTGACAGTTCAGTCAGGGGAGGGAAATAGGCCGACATAGGGTCCTAATGTCACGGCAAAAGCGACAGAAAATGAGTTTAGTGTGTATAATAGGTTGGATTGGGCACGGAAATAGCGATAGAAGATTTGTACAGTACTGATTTTGAATTATTTCCCTCTCTAATGCTATCTGCCCATGGTGAGAGTACGGTGGTTGAGCCTCTTGATACTCTCCAGAACTTCAACACTCTCGGTACCCAGGGATGCTGATGATCTGTCAGTGTGAAATATATCGTCCCAATTACTTGACTTCTCTACAGCCACGGCGGTAGGCCGCTATATATACACACCCGTGCATCGCCTCTGGCGGCTGCTCGTCTGCCGGCGGTGGTGCTCCGGCGAGAGCGGCAATATCCAACGGCTACATCTCTGAACGCTCATTTAACAGTCAGAATCATCTTGCAGTCAGACAACAGCCGTTCAACCTCAGTTGCTGTGGCGGTTTCAGCCACCATTCGAATGCGGCAGTGCAGCTTCGACCATTCTTCTCCACAGGCAATGAAGCATAGTCCTGGCGCTCGTCAACTGGGGCAGCGACCTGCATATGATGGTAGCCTGTGGGTGGTGGGTTGTACGTGGTTGGCCAGTGGGTTTGTGGTGGCGACAGGTTTAGCTGAAAACATTTTAAGTCTCATTGGACTGTTGGGCCAAGCAGTTTTCTCGGTTCAAAACCCGGCAGTTGGTTCAGTTTGCCAGTTGGTTCAGTTCACTACCCCCCCAACAGTTGGTTGGTCTGGAAACGACCCCGATTTGTTCCCAGTTCGAATTGTTGGAGGGTCTGGCTGTGACAAAACATATATCTAAACTAACCGAAGCCTAGGTCTAGTCGGTATAAGAGGAGTCAGAACAGGATAGATGTGTCGGGGAAGACTTCACGAACGTGCATACTGGTCCGTGTCGGCAGACAGATCTGGACAGAAGAAGCACAGTTGCATTGATGCACTCAAGTTTTCGACATAGCCCAGTCCGTCAGTCCTGAACCTCAGAATGGACTGCGCTGTATCTTGGCAGTCCGTCCGGGAGCGGTTTTCGGACGGACTGGTCAAAAAAGGATCGAGCCCAGCACGGTTTTTGTTTTTTTTCTGGTTCTACAGATCACACCGGGGGTGGTGAACACTGAATACCTACCTAGCGTGGTAGTTCCTTCATTGCGCCTGGAGCGATCGGAGGGGGTGACCACTGACGAGCACTATTGGTATGTCTGAACAAGTGGAATCGTCGGTCGATGCATAAACCGATCATGCTTTCGCTAGTGAACAGCTGCGCTGTGCTTCTGCATATTATCTAAGTCATACTTCAGTGGATACGTTCCGGGTTACGTCACTGAATACGTATCGGCCGAGAACTTGCTTTGCATTGCAGCGTAATGTGCAAGGTAGAGTAGATATGCAGACGATCGACGAAGGAAGCGATTGCGCACCGGATGTCACCAATGAACTCCAGGATGACTGTTTCATCACTCTTCATGATCTGTAGCTAAATGTCACGGGAGGTGTGAGCTCGTGGAAGGGGATGCGGCTGGATGCGCGGATTTTCGCACAGTCTGCAGCCATATCTACGCCAAGAAACTCAGCCTTGTCCGGTGCAGCACAGCCGCACACGCCCAGAGTCCCCCACAACCAGAGAACCGCACATACCTATGCGGGCTCCCGATGCCTGATAGATCATAGGCGGGAACTTTACCGTCACGGCTCATACTTTACGGTAATCCGGTAACCCTACAATAGATGTCCACAATTAGCATATAGCGGACTCTGGTAATACCGATTGTATTCTCGCCACAGTGGCCTGCATACGTGAAGACTGTGCGCAGCGCGTGGCAGGAGATCGGAAACGATGCGCGCAGTGTGCATATTCTAGGAGCACAATACATGCGGCAAATAATATCCAGCACATATGAAGCCTTCTGGGCGTCCCTGCGTGCGGAGGTTGTACGGGAAAGTACAAAAGAGGTGAAACCGACCATGCTCAAAAGCTGCACCGGTGGCAGTGAGCAACATATGTCAATCAGAATTGAGTTTATTTACACCTAGTACCCGCGCCCTGTCGATCCCAAATTCCCAATACACTTCCGACAAAGAACCCAACCTTGTTGATCGAATCTCTATCCTCACCTCCTCTGTACCAGCTGGCAGCAACACAATCGACGACTATGGCCTACAACGGCAGGAACGGCAGTACGGCCTACCAGTCTACCCAGCGTTACGGCAACGAAGGTACTCGCTTCGGCAACGACGAGCGCTACGAAGGCACCGGCTTCGGCAGCGATGACGAGCGATACGACGGTGACGACTTCGACGACAGTGATGACTACGATAGTGGTGACTACGGTGATGATGACTCCGATAGCGATGACTGCGATGATGATGACTACGATGGTGAATGGTAAGATAGTACCGGGAACAGTCTATAGCATTTCCGCTTACGGTGGTTGCAGTGGCGGCTCGGGTGCTTATTTTGGCGGTAATGGAAGCGCACAACTTGCCATGGCTCGCTCACGACACCCTCCGCCGGCGATGCCCCAGGACTATGGCGTTGACCCCAACGCTCTCGTCCAGGGTCAACCCGCCTTGATCTATGCGATACGAAGGGGTGAATTACGCGATGTTGGAGCGCTCGTACTTAACGGCACTTCAATAGACCTGTTAAGCCTCGAACACTATAATATAGTAGTGAATTATTATAACTAAACCCACAACCACTACTGTAGCAACGCACCGGCTTAGAACACCCTTGCTCCTCAGGCAAGGGTTACCCCGCGCACTTATCCGTTTCCACCGCGACCAGGAACGAGCAGTAGTTCTGGTGGAGGGCGGGTACCGGTCATAGGAGATGGAAGCGGCCGTTCAGCACACAGAGGGTCCGTTAGAACGCGGGGTTCGGTCAGGAGGAACAGTAGGGTCAGGGGAAATGGCCGACGACAGAGGGAGGGGAGGGGAAATGGCCGAAGACGTAGGCCGGCTAGGGGGAATGGTGGGCGTGGGCCGCAGTACGGAGGGGGTTGTGAGGTTATGTGCTGCATATCCTAGCAGTAATGGCGGAGATCAGTCAATGTAGCAGTCCATCATTGTCACTGTTTTTCTACGTTACTACATACCTAAGGCCTCCTGCAGCAGTGTTCTCCATCGTCCAGTCCGTCCGCCCTGGGCCTCGGACGAGGACGGGAGGTTTCATTATATCTCACTCGTGTTTCTGCAAAAAGCTAGTGTAGGCCCTTTCGGGACGAGTGATCATAGTTTCATCACGTGATATGGACGGTCATCCTTTAGTTGTCACGTTCCGGGTGAAAACTCGCTAGATATGCACTGCAGCGTGCTGTGCAAGGCGAATGCAGACGATCGACGAAGTAAGCGATTGGGCTACGGATGCCACCAATGAACTGAACTCTTCATGATCTGTCGCTGAGTGTCACAGAAATTGTGGGCACGCGGAAGGGGGTGCGGCTGAGTACGCGCATGTTCGCCCAGCCTGTATGTAGCACGAGAGTCGAGACTCGGCTTTATCTGGTGAAGCACTGCCGCGCGAGCCCAGAACCCCACACAACCACCAGAGAACGCCACATACGCGGGGTAGATACCCACAATTAGCATATAGTAGACCCTGGTATTATGCATTATGTTATTTATGTTATCGCGACGGTGGCCTAGTTGTGCGCAGTGGCGGGAGATGGTAAACCATGTGCGCATTGCGCAGTGCGGATATTCTACATGCGGCCAATAATATCCAACAAATATTAAGCCGTCATGGCTGTGGCTGCGTTCTGAGGGTGTACAGGAAAGTATATAAGAAGTGAGACCGGCCATGGTCGCCATGCTCAAAAGCATCACCTGCGAGCAACAGATGACGATCAAAATTGTGTTTATTTACACCTAGTACCGGCGCCTTGTCGATTTCCAATACGCTTCCGACGAAGAACCCAGCCTTGTTGATCGAATCTATATCATCACCCGCTCTGTAACAGCAACAAACTCCACGGACTATGGCCTACAACGGCTCCAACAGTGACGATGATGAAAATACTGGCCTCGGCGACGACGGGGGCTACAATAGTCCAAGGTTCGGCGACAACGAGGGCTACGAAAGTCCAAGATTCGGCGGCGACGAGCGCTATGGAGGTCCTGGCTACGGGGACGCCACAGAGGGCTACAACGGTGGTGATTACTACGGGAACGCCAACGAGGACTACAACGGTGGTAATGACAACGGGAACGCCAGCGAGGGCTACAACGGTGGTGATTACTACGGGAACGCCAACGAGGGCTACAACGGTGGTGATTACTACGGGAACGCCAACGAGGGCTACAACGGTGGTGATTACTACACTGGTCACTAGTAAGATACTACCGGGAATAACGTATATAGTATCTCCGCTTACGGTAGTCACAGTGGCGGCTCGGGTTACAACTCTGGCGGCACTGGAAGCACACAACTTGTCATGGCTAGTTCAAGACACCCTCCCCAGCCGATGCCTCGGGGCCACGGTTACGACCCCAACGCTTACGTTCAAGGTCAACCCGCCTTGATCCATGCGATGAGAAGGGGCGACTCACGGGGCGTGGAATCTCTCATCCGTAGCGGCGCTTCGATAGACCATTTCAGCTTCGAACACCACAGTATGGCAGTCCAGTATATTTACCAAACTCAGAACCGCCAGTTGATCGACATGGTGGGTCGCAACAATGCTGCTCGTCACGCAAGGGGTGCTCCGCGCCCTCATGCCTTTTCACCGGGGCCAGGAAGGAGGAGTAGTTCCCGTGGAGGGCGGTGGCCCGTCAGGGGAGATGGCCGAGGACATTGGCCGGCCAGAGGAGACGGCCGAGGACATAGCAGGGGGGATAGCAGAGGACATTGGCCCGTCAGGGGAGACGGCCGAGGACATAGCAGGGGGGATGGCCGAGGACATAGACCGTTTAGGGCGAATGGTAGGCGTGGGCGGGAGTGCGACTGGGGTTGTTGAGGCTGGGGGTGCGGGTGGCATACCTATGCTAGCAGTAATGACTGTACAGTGCGGAATATTGACTTATGCAATGAACAGAGTGCACTTCTAAGTATCATAACAGATCGCCCCCGCACACGATCCCTCTTCAACGCGGTTCACTGAGATCCCAATGGCCTACTTTGAAAGGTCGAAGTTGCAGCGGCGCCTTCAATACCCGATCTCATGTATCGGTTCGCCCGCAGCTTAAGAGACCATCACAACCTTCGATCTTAGTCTCCATTTCCAACGGTACCGCATCTTCCAGATCACACACAACCAAACTCCTATCAAACTACCTCTCCGAGTATTACTGAAATCGCTCAAGATACCTTCCACCACAAGCACTTCACAACAACACGGACATGGCGGAACCTTTAACTTACACCAGGAAATGCACATTTTGGGGCGTGCAAAATGAAATGAACATAGCCATCTGCACGAACCCCGATTGCAAGAAGCTGCGCATGTATGAAGAGTGGGCGAACCATTTGGCGCGCATTAGATATTTGAAGTCGGGTAAGAAGAGCGGCAAAAAGACGGTTCGGTTTGCGGCGGGGTCGTGAGTGGTGCAAAAATGGTCAGATGGTGTGCTTTGTCGGATGGAGCTTGAGATCTTGCAGCGAATTGGGGCGTATATTGTCGTCTTTGCTGTTTTGTATCTTTTAGACCTGGCGGTTGGAATTTAGCGTTTGTACTGTACGACTATTCACATTCATAACATATCACTAGAGTGGCACTCCCGTCGTAGCACACGGACTGTGCTGTGGCATCGCTGTGGCGTCGCGTTGTTAACTTTTCACGTGCCTGATGATTAGTTAGTTAGCGCCTTTCGATAAGCGAGACAGTAGAAAAATTCCATGCGGCTCTTCCCTCACCGCGTCCATCGCATTCCACTACACCCCACCACTGCCCGCGATTGATCAATACAATGACCGACGTCTTCCGACTCCTGACGCGCTCCGCGACGTTCTCGCGCCCCGCACAATCGAAACCCGCTGCATCTAAATCCGTCCCGTCGAACCCCGTTCCATCGAAACCCACACCGGTGGTCCTAAGCGCGAAAGGTGCGAAGAAACGCAAGATTGCAGTCGACGCGGATGTTGCGGTGCCGGACTTTTTCGGACAGGGACAAAAGCGGGGTGCTGAAGCTACGGCGTCGGCGGGGAAGAGGGTGAAGCGCGACGGCAGCGATGATGAAGCTGCAGAGAGCGACGCAAAGGTGGAGGAGGAGGACGAGAATGAGGAGAAGGAAGTGAACGAAGAGGTCGTGACCGAGGAGGAGGTGTGGAGGCGGCTGCGGGCGAACAAACTGAAGTTCACCGTCTTGAGCGCGAGTACGGATGAGCCAAAGGAAGACGAGAACGCCGGGGACAAGAAAAAGAAGAAGAAGTCGAAAGCGAAGGAGGAAGAGGAAGAGAAAGCGCAAGCAAAGAAGAAGGCGAAGAAGACGGGCATTCTCATACCACCGATGATGGCGTTCCCCGAGCTGCGCAACTACAACCTATCCCGACGGGTCTACGCGAACGTCCTGGCGCAGGGATACGCCAGCCCGACGGAGGTGCAGATGGGTGCGCTGCCGGTGCTGATGAAGTCAGATTTGGAGGTTGAGGGAGTGAGCAAGGGGACGCCGGTGGATCTCCTCGTGTGCGCACCGACGGGAAGCGGAAAGACTTTGGCGTACGTGTTGCCGCTCGTCAACAGACTTCTGCGGGCGCGGAAAGAAGATGGAGGCAAGAAGGGGATCAAGGCTGTGATTCTTGCACCGACGAAGGAGCTTGTGGGGCAGATCGCCAACGAGGTGAAAAAGTTGATCGAAGGCACAGGCATCAAGGTTTCGCAATTCAAGAAGGGACATCGACCAGTTTCAGCGGAGGACACGGTGCCGGAGGACGATAAGACGCCTTGTGTGAAGTCGGATATCGTCGTTTCCACGCCGCTGGTCTTGAAGCATGCCATCGAGTCGGCTGGTGAGAGCTCGATGACGGGCTTGATGGGCTTGGTCCTCGACGAGGCCGACGTACTCCTCGATGAGTTGTTTCTCGAGCAGACTATGTCGATCTGGAAGACAATCCGAGACCGGTCCAAAAATGGCTGTCTGAGGACCTCGCTTTGGTCCGCCACGATGCCGTCCACCACTGAAAACCTGATGACGAAGACACTCCTCGAATCTCCTACCAACCCCCCTGCCGTGCTCCGCCTCGTCGTTGGGATCAAAGATACTTCTCTTCCCTCCATCTCCCAATCCATCGTCTATGCCGCCACGGAAGCGGGAAAACTCCTCGCGCTGCGCAACCTCTTCACCACCAGTCTCCGACCCCCGCTCCTCATCTTCATGCAATCCATCCCGCGCGCACAAGCACTCTACAACGAAATCCAATATGATCTTCCCACCCCCGGCCGCATCGCTGTCCTCCACTCCGAACTCACAGACACGGTCCGGTCCGAGACGATGACTCGCTTCCGGCTCGGCGAGATCTGGATTCTGATCACCACCGATATCCTGTCGCGCGGTATGGATTTCCGCGGCGTGAAGTTGGTCATCAATTACGATCTGCCAACCAGCGTCGCCAGCTACATTCACCGCGTCGGCCGCACCGGGCGTGCCGGGAGTGAGGGCGGGTCGGCAATAACCTACTGCACGAAGGAAGATATTCCGTACATCAAGGGAATCGCAAACGTCATCCGCGCGTCGGCGAAGGGTTCCGGTGGCGGCGAAGGCGGCGTACAGAAGTGGCTTCTCGACTCGCTACCAAAAACGAGCAAGAACGACAAGAAAAAGCTCAAGCTGCATGGTGTCGAGGTGCGCCAAGGTAAGGATGCGAAACACAGGATTTCGACGAAGAGTGGGTTCCAGAGGAAGATGGAGGATCGGAAGAGGGGCGCGTTGGAAGGCAGTCGGAGGCGGAAGCTGGCGGAGGCCAGCGAGAGTGAGGATGAGGGCGATGGAGGTGCTCCACTGGGCAATGAGGGTGGGAAGGAAGTAGGGGAGTTCACTGGGTTTGATTGATTGATTGGGAATGGCGTCTAAAAGTTCTATTCTACTGCGATGTATGTACTTGGAAGATTCCAGATGATAGTGCACTGGGCGGCGAGGAGCTCGTAAAAATTATATCCTCCAAATGCGCAGGATGTATGCGCATCTCGCACTGTGGAATATTTCAATCCCCCATGTGCACGATGTAAGCAGTAACTTCCGAACGAGGGAAAATTACTTTCCCAGACACCGCCAAAACCCAAACTTTTTCCATATCGCCTCTATCCCCGAAGCACAAAAGCCAAAAATAAAAAGCACGAACAAACGCCTTCCCATTGCCATCCCATATTCACACCCCCTACTCTACCGATCCATTCCACTCACTCTGAGGACATAACTAACGCCTTCGGGAGTAACACAGCCATGCTCGCAAACAACCATAGAAATGTTGTCCGCTGCGGTAACGTCGTACCTAAAGTTTACTACCGTCGTGTTTGCTACTTCCCTCCAGCTGGAGAGAGGACCATATATAGGGAAAGAGTGTGAGCGGGAGGTGTTTACGATTAGATCCGGATCCGCTGAGAATCAGTTAGTAGGATGTGAGCGAAACGTGTAGAGGGAGTAATACCGAGCTCATTGTTGACAATGCCGTCGATGTTGATTTTCTCAGAAAACTTGATCGTCTGGCAGAGCGTGATGAGGGGGATGCCCTGGGCTTTCGCAGCGGCCGCGATGACGGCCGTACCAGAACGCGAGTACAGAGCGCCGTTCGCCATGACAGCGTGCGCGCCAACAAAGACCTTGGTGACGTCCTGCATGATGTATTCGACAGCGTAGAGGTCGATGTAATTGACAGCAATGCCGGCCTTGATCATGCTCACGAGCAAGTTCTGGCCTTCTTGCATCGGGCGATTATCCACCGACACGACGCGGAAGCGCAGGCCTCTGCGGTGGGCCTCAATAAGTGTCTCCTCAACCACGCGTGACTTGCCAAACGTGAGGATTACATCGCCGTCCTCAATGTACCGTTCGCACGCCGTGTTGATGATCATCTCGTCCGCCGCCGTGAGCCTCTCGTGGATGAACCCTTCGATCATATCGGCGAGCGTACGCTTGGCGAGTTCGTCGGTGATGTCGGGAGAGATGTTGGAGATTTCCGTCTTGAGCCAACGCACCGCGTTACCCATTGCTGTTGCCATCGGCCGTGCAGAGGTGATGTAGTTGATCTGGTGGGAGAGGTACGCGCCGGGAAGATGGCGGTTGAGGGAGGAGTCCGGAGGAGTCTCGTAGTCTTCGATCACCTATCCGTTGATCAAGTATCAGCTAACATCCTCGACGCAATCCAGAATACCACACATACTCGCTTGATAGCTAACAGGAAGCCCAGACACCTCGCGCTCGATCCGACAATGACATTCTTGTTAATCTGCATTCCAAGCGTGATGATAGCAGGGTGGACATCGGGGTGAGCGTTGTCGATCCCAAAGGCCAGCTTCTTCTTCTTTCCGTTCTGCTCCACCTCCAGATCCCTGAGTAATCCGACAAGTCCATGCTCTCTCACCGCCTCCGCATCCTTTGCGGCCGCCTCCGCCTCCTTCGCCGCCAGCGCCGCCAGCTTCGCCTTGGGGGCGGAACCGCCGATGCGGATAGTGGATACGGGGCCTTCGGATTGCTTCTTTCCACCCTTTGCCGCCACAGCAGCAGCTTCCTTTGCACCCTTTTCGCCGGGGCCGGCGCCCCCGCTGGAACCCGCGTCTTTGTTCTGTACGCGCTTGGCAGCTTTCTCAGCCTTCTTCTTCTCCTTGAGCTCCTTCGGCGTCAGCTTTTTCTCGTTCGAAGCAGCGGTGGCCGCAGGCGCGGCTGAGGCGGCCGGTTTCTTCTCCGCGGGCTTCGTCTTGGTCGCCGGCACGGCGGGGGTCTCGGCGGCGGACCCGGTGGCCTGCGGGGCAGAGGATTCGGGTATGGTCGCCAGCGGCGACGCGCCGATCGCGGGGGCAGGTGTTGCCATCGGGTTGGGTTCGCGGGGAAGATCGGTGCGGGTGTCTTGTTCGGGGTCGGTTGGTGGTTCCCGCTGCCGTTCCGTAGTGGGGTTGATGCTCGTTCTAGTTGGTTGCAAATGGTGGGGTTGCGATGGAGATGGAGTCATCGGAGCCAAATGCGGCTTAGCGGACTCGTGCGGCTCTGGGGCGCTGAGAGCCGCATCGACCGGTGCAGATGAAACTAGCTGCTTCACTCCGTCGAGTGGGAGCAAAAAGTAAAGCTTCTCCACCCAGCAGCGAAAAAAATTAAACATCGTATAAAACATCGTATAAAACATCGCCGAGTTCTAGGGTGTAGGGACTGATGCAAGAAACAAAGAAAAAGTACAGAAATCGCGCAGCTGCGGCTTATATTTCTAGGCTCGTTTTTTTGACTTTCTATGGTCCCGTTTCCACCTGGGACTTGGCCTTCTATGGATTTCACCAAGTGGGATGTGCTCAACCTAACTGTCTTTGTGCACGGTCGCTTAGAAGGAACGACCAGGACTCGAGGAGGCTCGTTGTCCGCATTATTCTCAAGATGAGATCCTGGACTGCGCGAACGGAAGATATGATTAGATGATCGCCCTCTATCATCACGTGCGGTCTTCCGAATGACTTTCGTGTCTCTACAACGCGACGCCAAACGGTGACCTGCAATCAATAATCCAACGAATATGGACATTCCATCGGATCAACTGCTTCGGCCGGTTCATCATGTTTTATTTATATCTATTGTCTCAATGCTGGGGTAAAGTTATATAACAAATGTCAACAAGGTCTTTCTGTCGGCAGAGCGCCACAACTTAACAGCCACACGCTAGCTTCCGCCTCATTAAGCACCATAGAGCTGTATCCTGTACTACCTCCCTCTCTACTGGGTGGATAATAGTCCAAACTTCCCATGATCAACATTCTAGGCTGCAATTTGCCGAATCGCTGTACTCCAAACAAAGAAGGAAAAGAAATCAGATACACTCCATGCCGTGCTACCAACCACGCTACTCGCCACCAACACTTCGGTCGTACTCCTGTCTGAGCCTGCTCCATCCCACCTGCTGAAAGGATATCCTATGTTCATCGCTGTAGACGCGGACATTGTTACGATGCCTGAACTTCGCAAATAAGTCTGGAATTCAACTCAAAATCGCCCTGGCCCATAAACGTTACTCCCGTCGTACTGGTCATTACCGCCATTCATCCCGGGGCAGGCCCCGTGAGCGGCAAAGGGGTCGGCATTGTCGGCTGCCATCTCCCCGAGTGGAGTCAGGACAGGCTGCCCGTTCGGCTGATGATGACCGCCGTTCAACCCGGGGTAGGCCCTGTGAGCGGCAAAGTGGTCGGCATTGTTGGCTGCCACCTCCCCGGGTGGAGTTGGGCTAGGTTGCCAGTTCGGCTGATGATGATCGCCGTTCATCCAGGGTGTATCCGGGTGGTCGGCAATCGTTACTTCGTACTCAGCAGGTAGAGGCGGGAGAGGTTCGGTGCTCGGCTGATGCCTCCCCAGCAATGGATCGTGTGGCAGGATAGATTTAATAACTTCCGCCATCTCGGCACGGCTCATTATCCAGTTGTGCTTTTGGAGGAAAGCGTCATAGAAACGGGCCTCCGCGTTGAGCTTGCCTACCACCCACCGAATCCTATTGTAGTATTGCTGTACCTCTAGAAACTGATCGAGGTAGTTGTACCGCAGGCGGTTGAGGGTCCACAGCTACGCAGGTTGGTTAGCATGTCACTTCAAGTTCGGCAGGGCTGCCGGCATCACCTCCAGTTCGCCCTTTCGGAGCCTTGTCAGGGTTTCGATGAACTTGCCGGTCACCTGCATATAGAGATCCCAGGGAACGATTTCCATAAATGCGAGCTGTTGTAGGGATGGGATGTTCGTGCTCATGTTGAATGTTGTTCGTTGGGTCCGTTGCTGCTGATTGAGATGCTTCGCGGCAGCGCAGGGGGATGTTGTTGGGTGTCTGTACTGAACAGGTGGCGATGAAGAGCAGAGACAGGAAGAGCAGAGACGGGCAGATTCTTTGTAGGGGTGACTAGTAATATTGGGACTAGAACGAATGAGTTCGAAACTTTCGTTGCCTTACAAGGTTTTGGGACTGCGCATCTATCTTAAATTTCACGACTGCGAGAAGTTCAGTTTAGGTGTATGAGGCAGGTGCTATCCGTATTGCGGACGTCTTATTCGCGTCTTCTTTTACCTCTCAGTTCGAGGCCCCAGTTCGGCGGCTAGCACAAAGTCAGTTCACACTTATCTGCGTTCTCCAAATGCGATACGCCGGATGGATTTGATGTTCGAGATCGCAAAAGAGATGCATTGCAGAGAGATACCACCTGCAACCAGCGTGCCCCTTTACCCCGACAGTGGGACTACTAACGTTGTCCAGACTCTAGACTCCACGCTGCCGATACCATTCCATCACCAACGAACCCAGACGGAGAACACGTATAGTAGCTTTTATACCATACCGGTTACGTTTACGGACGGCGAGTTCTGGCAAATAACCTACGGCAGCACCGCTCTAAAAAAGGGAAAGTAGCTGGACCCTTCTGGAAATAGGTTTCAGGCGTCGAAACACTATTTCTCACTCATAGTTGAGCACCTATTCACCGAAGATCATCTGCCATTAGAAAGATGCTGGGTAAAGTGTGCGTGGAGTAGGCGGACAATGAGCGCGGTTGTGTTCTGTTTGGTAGGCCGTGGTGCAGCATCGAATTGAGGCAATAGGGCTTTCTCTCTACCTCGCAGAGCTGGCAGGAAAGTCGGGAAGTTGGTGGGCGCCATAGTCTAGTTAAGCTACATGTGACGATAAGGCTCGTTTAGATGGCTTCAGTTTTGAGTTCCAGTTTTAGAGCCAAATTCAGCTCTCCGCCGGGACACCGACTCGGAACAATACATGCACAACTAACGAGCTCCCTCCCAGATTGAACCTTGCTGGGGGGTGTTGGCTGTTGGGGTTGATAGCTGTGTTTTTGCTTGCTTTGTTCAGATTCCGGTTCATGATTTGGAAATCAAGGGAAATCACCAGCGGCGATCAGGGCTCAATGGGAGCGAATTTCTCAAGTGGTGAGGGTACCGGCACCCGGTACCCAAGGTTCGAGCCGTTACAAGGGTAGCAACCTTAGGGAGGACGCTCTTTTGCTGCGGTTCAAAGCCTAGCTTTTGTGGTTTACGTTTTGCCCGTCGCGCGTTGGTGGTTAGGTAGTCGAGTGACGGTGATGTTTGCGCGCGTGAGTCCAATCACGAAATTTTAAACAAGGAAATATGAGACACTAGAAGACGTAGCCGGTGCGTCATTCATGATAACGCCTTTTGCCGGCGAGGTCTTCTTTGTGAAGCAAGACACCCCCATCAGATGAAGGGAACGGGAGAGGAGTTCATGGGGAATAGAGTTTGATGGAACCTACATGTATTATGGAGAGCATGCTATGTGCGAGTCAATCAATGAGGAGGCTTCCGGCTGAAGAAAAAATGACCGAAGTTAAACCTAATCCCCAAATGCTGCGTCTCAAGAACATCGCCAATGCAGGACACCTATTGTGGCACCGCACGCCACACGTGGCGTGCGGCTGGGGCTGGTCTGTGTAACCGATCATTGTGCTGTTGTACTCTACTCACGGGGATGAGAACACCATCTTCCCTGTGAATCACAACATGTCCGACGGCAGCGGGCAGCGATCCATTTTGCAACACATCTTTCAAACCTTTCACATAAGATATCGTACGGAGCGCGACCATCTCAATATCACCGCAAATCGCATACTCCCAATCTCCTGTCCTGTCCCAGGGCTGCGCGGCCACGTTTCGTTGCAGCGTCCTAATCCGTTGTGTAGCTATTTGTTCGGTATGTATCCGCACTCCAGCAACCGATACCCACCGCTTCATTCATAGTCGCGTTCCCCGCTCTCATCTTCGCCATCGAATTCGTGCTGTGCCCACATGTCTACCAGCCAGTGCAAGGAAGTTCACCATAATTTGCTTCAGGTCTTCCTCCTCGATGTCTACCTGGAACGGGGCTCTGGCTGCTAGCTAATAATCGACAGCCCTGGGCACCAGCCGGTCAACTTCGGGGGCTCGCAGGGACCTACTATGACGGAAAAAAGAGAACGTTCACCCTTCAAGCCCTCTCATCAATCTCGACTTCCTCCGCCTCGTCTAGTAGCCTCAAGCTCTCAGCCCTTCTCTCTTCCTCTACCCTGAGTTTCCACCCGGACACCTCGCTCACTGCACCTTCCTCAGCGGCCGAGTCCGGTATCCGTCTGCCAACAGTTGCGGCGGCAAGAAAGTCCAAGATTGCCTGACTGTACCTCTCGTCAGCAAAGAGGTCATGGATACTGAAGCGCTCCTGTCCCTTCCCGTCTCATTCAGATCCATTGCCCCCAAGATCTTCTGCTGACGCTTAAATTTTCGGAGTGGTAAACGTTAGACTAAATTGATTACATAAGCAACAGGTAAGTCGAGTGACAGTCGGAATAATGAGGCCTCCCGCTGATAGCAACCGCGCAGCACACCTTCCACAGCGACACAGCCAACGACCGATTCCTACGATATATGCTCTATGTCCTCCGGTAATGACGAATGGTAGAAGCCGGCTTCTTCGTGGACACACTCAGTCGACAGCGGGCTGAGATTCTGTCATGGATGGTACCGGAATGACCGCTTATGCAAACCCAAAGGAGAGCAGTGGGATTCGGTTCCAAAATGGCACCCAACACCGCTATGATTGAGGAACAGACAAACTGTCTACGCGATGTCGATATTACCAATCCGTGGAGGTGGCAGAAGCAAGCAGGAGCACACAGTTGGGAAGCGTCGTCAGCAATTGTCCGCGTCCCCCGGTTAATCATTGATACCGAGCCAGCGACTACCGATGCACTATATACCGCGGATTCTCGCCGTTGAACATCATTCGATAAGCCCGACATCAATCGAAAATATTGGAAGAATCTGGCTTTGTATCTACCTTGGGACAGGTTATTAACTTCAACCCAGTTATGCAAATACAAATTACGAGTATAAGGTTCGACTATCCACAAACAGCGTTCACACATCGCCGCGTCTCGACCTCAAACCGCTGGCTATAGAAAGTTTAGGTCGCCTACTGGTTCTCTCAATCGTGAGATTAGGCATCCCGGTTTCTAGGCACGCAGCACCACTTAACACAACTGGGGTTGACAACAAGAATGAAAGTTAAGATCTATCCGACGACGTGGATATTCACTCTACCCGATTGGTGTCGGCTAACAGCGCGACCGATAGTTAACCGGATTGTGGTTCGCGCGGCTTTTCGTATTTGGGCTTTCCGGACATCACAGAAGCTCGAAGCGAGCTGTCGAGTGACCAGTAATGCTGCAGAAAAAAGGAAATACGCACAGATAGCTAGCCGCCGAGCACGTCCGTCACTGCCGAACACGTCAATCACTACCGAGCACGTATGGTAAGCAGACGTCTCCAACTCCCGGACGCCAACCAACATTCACCCGGACTCTCGGCGGAATTGACTTCCTTATCACAAAACGTCCGGAGGTTTACGGATGTTCATTCTCGCCCCCCTGGGGACCTCCCCCTGATCAGCTCATATGCAGGGCAGGCAGGCAAAGGCGGCTACCCCGCATATCTGTCGAAGCCTGGAACATAGGGACCTACATATGACCCGCCGTGTTCCCCGGGGAAATTGAGATCTGACCTGCAGTATGCGTTGTGTACTGTATGCACCCTCTGGGCCCCCGCAAAATCTATCCGTCCAAACGAACGTGCAGCGGGATATGACCGTCATGCTAAGTTCGGAATGATCTACACATCAGCAACGCAAAGAAAAAAAACTATAAGGAGATGAGACATCTGACAGCAAACGAAACGAAATGAGGCATATGGGGAGAAGAAAAGTTTTTTCGTTTCCAGCGGCACGACGCAGTGGCAACTCACGCAGAAAACACTATCGCCGAGAGTACAACACAAGTTACAACTTCTGCCTGGCTTCCATTGATTTGTTTGCTCTCACATGCGCCATATGAATCTTCGCAGGCCTGGGTCATGAGGCTTTTATTGCCAGCAAGGCTAAAACCTGAAACCGACTGGTGGGTCGCCTGCCGCGGAAGATCTCGGTCGCTTGGCGGGCAATGCATCTGTCTTGATCCATTCAGGTCATGTTCCCGGGGGAGGCATACCGGTGCAGGGGCATAATGGTGGTCATGCAGGACTACGGAATCTTGGTCAAAGTGCATATCGATTTTCTATGTCGTTCGACTGCCTGCTTGAGTACTGTTGAACGGTCTAGGGGATGATTTGAGTTGCGTGCTGGTAGGCGTCTTTACGATGAAACAGTGACAGACGTCGGTTTTGCGCGATCTTTGTAGGGACAGTGCTTGAGGGTGGGATGCGGCAAATAAATGCATGAGTTGGCAGCAATGTCTCCCCCATCCCTCAGCCACACGAACCGCTTAGTCGTGGACCAGCCAGGTTTCATGGCTTTCCCGGATGCACGTGCGCACGTCTTGGATATTTTACACCCAACAAACCGTGTTTCCAATGTCTATCTGCGATAACCGGGCGATTTCTAACTGTTGAAATATATACGTAGACAGATGATGATATTCTATTCGACACAGAAAAGAAGAACCTATCGTCCACGGCGAAGACCTCTGTTTAAGACTGAGAGGCCACCTAAGGTTGGCCGCCCAACAAAGTTGGCCGCTCATCAGAGTTCGCCAGGCCGTCGAGACTCTTCCACCGTCGAACCTTAACTCGTGCCGAGATCTCCGGGCGACCAAAGTTTGACACTCACTTACTATTCAGATCAGGTCATGGTGTAAGTTGTCACACTCTCGCGTTCACCAAATCTCCGTTTCTACCGGCTGTTATGTGATGATTACAGCTCAGATAATACAGCCACAGCGCCCAGCGGTACTCCAGTAGGTATTGTACACGTACACCTGCTGTCCTACTACTTACTTCACTAAGGTCGATCTCCTGTTGTTAAAGATATACGATGGAGAGAGTACACGAGATGATCGTATTGAGGTAGATTGATTAGAGAATAGAAAGGGACTCAGTACAAGATGGGGATATGGTGAAGTCTGCGGTAGTGCCAAGGCTGGTATGCACTAGGTAGTCTACTCTAGTCTAGGATAGGTAGGCAGACGCGTGATGACTGATGAATAACCAACACCTGTTTCGCAGCGGTGCACGAATGACAATTCGTGAAAGCGTAGTTAGTGAAGAAAATTTCGCCGACGCAGAGCCACATTGCAACTGATATAAAAGAGGTCCTCCCCCCCTTTCTTCGAACCTCATGCGATTTTACTTCATAGTGAGTTACCCCCTACCTTCACCTTCAGGGTCGAGATCTATCTGTCCAAAATAATTAACACATTCTCAGGGATCATTTCTATAGTAAATCGTCTCATCTGAACTCTTTACAAGAGCCACAGAATCTCCAACCTGGAAGATGATCGATATCCTCGTTGCCCCAGAGTGAAGCCTGTTTTGCCGGTCCTTCGGGATGGGTGGGTGATGATCTCGACCCGAATTTCCGTATACTTCTCGTATGAGCGGTGGGAATGAGGGTGGGCGACGATGGAGGTCTGACAGGCTGCTGGTCTTTTTTTTTCTTCATCTACTGCTAGGCCGCATGACGTGGCGTAGAGGAAAATCGAATTCGGCTGTGTCCGTTTTGTGTGCTCGTTCGCTCGTGGAAATTCGCTGGACCTGTGAACTCTGCCTGTAGCCGCGGGTTCAAAATTTATAGCGACAACCCATAGAACTCTGGGCCCAATCATCACCTTCACGTGCAAGTCGTCTCGGTGAACATTAGCCCACCTCCATCATTGTTTGCTCATCAGATCCTAATTCTAAGACGATGCGCAATTCACCATCTCGCGGTATCTAAGTAGGCGGCAAAGTCCGCGCGGGCAGTTGGAGAATTAGACAGCCCTGCATGGTGCTAGAACTTCCACCTACAGTGGTCCTATCGGCCGTCGTAGACAGCATCAAATCCAAGTAAAAAAAACCTCATCCCCTCGCACAGCGGCCAGGAAGACGATGTTTTTTTTAGAGGAAAGCCCGAAGGTAAAAAACCTCTCCACGCAAGAGTCTTGACTCTTCACTCTTGCAGGATTGAACTTTGAAGGATTACTGCAAGGGTTGGAATATTTGGAAGGTTGGCGACCATAGCGAGTAGAACTCGCAGGCTGTGCATTTTGCTTCGGTTCACGAAGCAAAGAACCCATCCAAAGTGACACCTGCTTGCTGTGGTGGCCAAAGGCCACGGATGACTAGCCAAAGGCCTTGCCATCATCCATTTATCGCATCCCATCTTGGACCACCAGGGCCGAGCTTCCGGTGCGCAATGGCGCCCCGGTAGGACACTGCATCAGACTTCTGAGAGCCGAGCATCATTGAATCACACCATCAAGGCCGAGCATCAGGTGCGCACTAGAGATGTAAGCAGTGACAGATGTACTTGCTTCATGACGGGAGTGAGGAAGCAACGGAGCGTGTCGATGCAGCCGGAACATGATGCAGCCATATTGTACTTCCAATTGAGGACTTACCAGATACGGGCGGATCGTTTCGGTCTTGGGGGCTGTTGTCGATGAATGGGTACCTAGATTATCGTCGCTACTCTCGTAACTGTGCCGTTGTATTCACAGAATCGCAGTGGAAGATCTTCGGTTTTGGGTACGATTTCGAGCGCGTCGTCGACTCGTCGCCGCCGAGGAACATCGTGATGTCGTTCTTTCACGAATAGTGGGGAAGTTGCGACCGTTGAGTGGAGAGGAAGAGGAAGGGAGACGGAGGCAGGAAGGGTGGCTTTTATAGGTGGTGCGCACTGCGGGCTTGGAATTTGAGTTGCACTAGCGTGTCGAATTTGTTGGGCAAGAGATGAAGCATAAGATTTTCAGCTCATGCCAAAACGCATACCTACGCTACCCGAGTATCGCCGCAGGCTTTAGCTAGATCGGTGAACGTAACCTGCGATCTACTTGCATCAACAACGCCCAACGACAGCCGCGATCCCTACATTAGATGAACACGGTGATAACTCCGCCAGAGCTGAAGCAACGGTGAATTAGAATGGTCACAAAGCTGCTTACCAGCGGTGGCAGAGGGTTGGAAACTTGAAAGTAGACGGCTTACAGGTTACCGGACAACTGTGGGCGTCGTTCCCGAACTTCACACGGATGATCTGGACAGCGAAAGACGTTCGACAAAATCGCGCTGTGGGAAGGAAGGATGCCAAATGATAAAGCCTCGCCAATTCTAAGACAAATATGCCCGAACATCCCATACTTAATGTATCTGGCGGTGGACCGAACGATGGATGGATGGCATGCAACTCCGCCGCTTTCCACACGATTGTTTGCCGCCGAGAAATCTAACCACGTTACGGATCTCACCTCAATAGACATCCTATCATTCGTGGCACCCGGTCGGCCGCTAATCTTCGGCAAAGGATCTAGTTACGAGAAGGCAGTTGCCGACTTTCGAGGCCTCTGATATAGTGAGTGCCGTGAGTGGTGAATAGTAATATCTAGGAGAGAAGGAAACAGTAGAGTGATGGATCCGAAGGCGGATACGGAGGCAAGCGGTGGAAGAATAGACCATTCCACGAGTGTTCTGTTGACGGAAAGCTCCGTGGAGGATGCCAGGAAGCGATTAGCCGAAGAATCAGATGTGGATGTGTATTTTCACATTCCAGTTCTAGAGCCAACGCTTCACACGGTTTTCTCCCGAGCAATAGCCGCCGCTTTCCGGATAGACCATCCGAATACATCCAGTTTGCCAGAGTCAAAACGTAATCCAGCACTTTCTTTTCTACCACATCTGACCGGATATGCCTCACCATTGTGCGGATCTGGCGACAACAAGTGGGTTTCAGTCGACCGATCGGCCCACAGAGATCAACTCATTGATGTCCCAAGCCGCCTGGCTCCACGTCATTTGATCTCACTCGATGCCATCACTTACGTAACAATATTCATCACCATGTCACTTGTGCAGGTCATTGGAGATCACTCGATGATATCTGGAAGCTTTCGTGGACGATACCGCATGGCTTGCCCAAGAAGATAACGACAAGGAAAATACACGCCAAATGATGTAACAACCCGCCGGCAGAGGATATAGAAACCACGGGTGGCAGGGACGAGGGACCAGATTTCTTAGTTGAGCTCACAGGAGGTTGGACGTGGCGAGAAATGGACTGAAGAATGCCCTCATCAATTCATTCTGTCTTTCCTTCTTTCTTTCTTTCTGTCTTTTTCTCTGTCAGATTGAGTTAGCCGGGGAGGGAGTGGGGAGGGAGCGGGGAGGGAGCTGGGAGGGAACGTGGAGGGTTGACTCGCGGGAGGGAGAGCCTCCTGGACAGAGAGTAATCGGGAACCGGTATTGAGCTCGCCGGCATCTCTCGGTGACAGCTGGATGGAGAAGTATGTGTAACCTGCCATGATGTACATTGGCAAGGACGAAGTAACGCCCGCCAGATCGGAGCTGCTCACGAATCACGATACCTATTGTTGCTGTACCGAATTGATTACCTTCTTCTTTCTACCACATCATTCAACCTTCGGGAATCATACTCCACTGTGTAGGAGGTTAGTTACACAAATGCGCATGGATTGCAGTTGTGAGTGGCCGTGTGAGACATGAGGCTGGATGTGGCGTACAGCTGCACATCCGGCCATATTTGGCGAGGCTGACAACATAGGGACAACTGGATAACACGCATCCATCAGACCAACCGACGCCACCACGCCCACTACCACCACCGTCACCATCACCATCACCGTCACCACCGTCACCACCACGCGACATGTCGTACTTCCTCGCGGCCCTCGAGCTTCCGCGCGCCAATAATGCTGCCCACCCCCCACCAGCAATTTCATCGCTTGCAGCGAAGCGTCTCACGCCGACGAGCTCCTGCGTTTACGCGTCGACAACCAGACAGCAATACCCCTTATTCAGGGCATGCTGGATGAGTGGAAGATAGCCTAGGACGTGCAACCGGGTTTGGGACTGCAAAAGCAAGCCTTGAACGCGATTGTGGAGGGGTTGGAGATCAAGGTGAAAATCTTACGGGTGGAGAAAGAGTTGTGGAGAACGAGAGCTGTATTTGCCACCACCATCCTGACGCTTAAAAAGACCGCAAACGCTGATGAATGTAGGGATGTGCGACCCTAAAGCAGTACGACGAGGGCAACACGCCCACTAGCGAGCGGAAGCGGAAACATCAGGATACCGGAGCCGGCGCTACAGAACTTGCCGGTGGCGTGCCGGACGACCTTGGCGAAGGGAGGGGGACTGCACCCGACGGACTAGCGGAAATTGCAAACAATACCCTTCACGAAGACGACGGCGGTGCGCTAGACACGTTGAAGGTTGTTTCCGATATCTTCCGCACGAAATTCCCTAGAAGATCCCTCGGTCCCAGTTCCTGGCATCTCCAGACGGAAATCACACCTGAAGCGGAGTCCAAGGCCCTATCCCGAATGACCAAGATCCCTCTCCCTCGGCTACTGCAAGATCGTCTCGTCCACATTCACTGGAAGAGTCTCGACGACGACCAGTATGAGCTTCTTCGGCAACGCATAAGCACACAAATTACCCCGAATATGAATGACCTGATGTCGTTTTCCGGAGAACTGTGGGCTGGGATCATCGTCGGGGTGTACCGCATGAGATCATGCTTCTGTGTCCGCACACTGCTCACTCGCTCGCGGACCTAGGGACGGAGACCATCTTCCGTTGGTTTAATCTCGCCGTAGGACAGGAGGAGTGCATTGATATCCACGACATGGTTGTCAAGAGATATATGCAGTCCGTGTTGGAACTGGTCGACGAAGCCCGCCGTCTCGAAGTGTGGCGGTCTTTCACGGATGCAGCATTTGCGTTCCCGCATGAGGCACGGAAAGCTTTGCAAGTCGCCGTCAGGAAGGCTGTATTAGTTCACGCGCAAGTGACGATGGAGTGGTTCAATGGCACGCTTGTAGCTACGTTTGCGGAGGAGCCAGGTCGGAAGACGAGGCGAGGGAATGAAGAGGAACCCCGTGGGCAGGTGCCAAAGGGATATGAAGGGGGCGGCTGTTTGACATGTCTAAGCTTTGCTTTCTTTACCACAGTCATTTGATAGCTTTGAAATCCGTTTGTATTGAAAGGCACGAGAATAGCTTTAGTTAGTCGAATGCATGTTTTGTATAAGAGTTGAGCTTTCATTGATGGCTATGATCTATCTACCGAATCTCATATCCTCATGCTGGCACCGCCGGTGGCCCCCACCTCCGGATAGTGCTGGTATCAATACTGATTCGCCACACCTTCTAACAGTTAGCAAGTAGCATATTATCCCACGTCTCTCAGATCAATACGCATTGCACGTGCCCAACACCACCGGAGCAACGTAACTAGGAGCCATCACGGACGACCAGGAAAGATTGCTTATGTTCACTTCGATTATAGTCTACTCCGCCGGGTGATAAGTGGTTCAGGTGGCAGCAGTTCCGGACACTGCATGTTCTTACCGCAGTTTCCCACATTGACTGGTCTTTTCCCCGTCATTCGTAGGCATTGCTTAGGTGGTTCAATTCCTTTACTAACCAACCATTGATGTCGAACATCCTGCCGCCGGATGGACAGTAGCCTCCGTAAGCCTGAGTGCTGTCTATGTGATGTGGTGGTTCCGGACCGGGTTCGACCCCATCGATTGCCACGTGATGTATCAGCCAGCGGGCTTGTCGAGAGTATCAGAGTGAATCACACCTGTGCAAACGACCCTCAACTACGAAGTGTTATTGACGCTGAGAACTCGTAGACCCTAGAAGATCATAAAAGCATTCGGTACAGCAACAACATCGTGAGCAGCAAGCTCTCTCTATACACAGGCTTCATAGACCATACAATATCTGCATTGATCGCTTTAGGACTTGGCCTTCCGTGCTCGGATACCATGCGAGAGTAAGCCGGAACATCGTCATCTCCGGAGTCCGGACGTCCCATATTCTGACAGAAAGCGACGATCGATGATTACACACAAAACGAAAGAGACACGGCCTATTAGGCACGAGTTGAGAGAGCGAATGGGCTAATGATGCGGAACTATGGTGGGTGCGGAAGAGTGGAGGGAGCGGAAGAGTTGGCGTAGTAGCCTAGTCGAGTGAGCGAAGAGGAGACCTCACAGCAAATACCTAACCCAAGGTCATAACCCTATCTCACCCCGCAAATCGAATCGAAATGTTACCCTGATTCTGGAGCCCCCAGCCTACCCGCTGCTCTCTTTCTTCCCGTCTCTCTTCTTCCTTCCCTCTTCGCCACACCACTTCTTCTGTCGCTCCACTCTACACAGAACACCCAGACGACTTTCTCCTCTCTTACCAACTTTGCCTTCTACACCAATCCTGATGGCACCACCACATACATCCAAGTCCGCCCGCAAAGCAAATGCGAGAAGTTTCCAGTCCAGGACTGACCAGCGCGCGCCCTTTCCTGCTGCTACTGCGCCGCCGCTTCCGACTAGCAACGAGGCTGTGCCTCCTGCAACTATGGTGCCGCTTTTGGCTAGTAGAATAACCTTTCCTCCTGCCACTGCGCCGCCTCTTTCCACCAGCAGTGAGACCTTTCCTGCAGTCAAGTGTATTTCTCGAAGGGCGGTGATGGTGGCGAAGGTGGAACTTCACACCGGAGCCCAGCCCCTCCTTGCCGGAGTGCAAGGAGGGCGAAACTACAGATCAATGGGAGTTTCGTGTGGACGAGGCCCGGCAGAAGAACCGCTTCGAGCAGCACTACCACGCGGCCCGGATCCGCGAGGGGCTTGACCCAGAGGACGACAAGGACAAGCTGTTGTCAAGGGAGCAGGAGAAGGAGGCCGAAAAATGCGCGGAGGCAACGAGACTTCATGTGGAGAAGGGGGAGCGTGCGAGGAGGTCCGGGGTGCACACGTAGGCACTCGTGGCTGAGCACATCCAGCAGAAGTACGAGCGTCTGGCGTCGGAACGTCAGCTGCTGGCCCAGCAGGAGGCGGAGCGGCGTCGCCGGGAGGCGTGCCGCCTCGAGCGTGAGAAGATCATTGCCCAGCAGGAGGCCCGGCGGATTTTCTAGGAGAAGCTCCGGCGGAAGCGAGACGATGCGAGATGGGATCGATGCAGAGACTTCCTATGTATGTAAAGAGAGAGAGAGTTGCTCACGATATTGTTACTGTACCGAATATATCATCATGTTTCTCGACCTTATATTTGACATGAATGTATTGATAGGTGACCATATAAAAGACAGTATACTATACAGACAGTAAAGGGACAATGAAGAACTTGACAGCGACCTAAACTAGGCTCTTGGTAACGAGGCCCCGTTATACACGGCCGGCGCTCCACTACCGATCACTCGGGTGCCTACCGCTGCCGCCGGAACCTCAACAGCCATCTGTAAAGGAAGCTACTCTTGGCAAAAGAGAACATATAGCTTATACTGCCAATTTTGGAAGCTTCGGGATTGTTATGGAACGCCAGGCGAAAAATCCGAAATTATGATGTCCCTGCCGTAAGTTATGCACGCCGAGTGATCCTAAATGGCGGTACCTTAGATGACGCCTATCTCGAGGTTCTACGCGTTTTCTCAATTGAAACTTCCTACATTGCCTGTCTCGCTGTATTCAACAACAAGTTCTGTCATTTATGCCTGAATTCAACAATGCGTCAACGACGGAATTTGTTTATATCGAGTGATTTTACATGATGTCGCTGTAGGCGAGGTCGATGACGCCTGCAGAGTTGCATGATTCGACTCGGTAGGCGATGTTTGTAGAAATCTTACGGCGTTGATCAACCTTCCTTCCTTCCCACTCCATACCTCCGGTTACTATCACAACCCAGGTAGCAACAATCCCCTCGACTACTTTCTTCTCTCTCCCTACTTCTTTTTCCCCACAATCACGATGACGAAGATCTTCTACTATGATCTAATCGGTGTTGCACATTTCGCAACACACGATCAAATCCTGGCAGTCATCGAGCTGGCCATGGAGGCCGTCATGAAATGCCACCTGAGTGTCGATCTGGTAAGTTCACGCATTTCATTCTTCATATCTACCACGATGATCATCTAGACTGACAGGTGTAACTACCAACTAGCTGCGAACAGCGATGCACGTGTTGCTGAGCCCGGAGCGTCGCGAGGCGCACGACCGACGGCAGGGTCCTTACTTTAAGTTTCTTTTCCATGCGAATTGCAGAATTTCCTCGCTGATAGTTGTGTTAGGCGCGTTGTGCCCGAAGTGGTTCAAGCGGACTGCTGACTCGCCACTCGCCGACAAAGGCTCCTCCTCTCTCAGCTTCTCCGAGGTGCCGCCAGACGTCTCCGAATGGATTAAGGTCCCGTGCCGGCTTCGTTCTCTGGTTGCCAAGCGAAAGAGGAAAGGTCGTACGATCTCTTCTCGGCCGCCCTGGGAAGCAGCAGATACAAAGCGCGGCCGGGCGGCGAAGGCGGCGAAGGAGAGGCTGGTGCTCCAGGCGGGCGGAGCAACCACGGTCGATGCGATCTGCGGATGCATGGGGTGGACCGTTGGTGGTGATGGGCGGGGACCAGCGTCGCGCTGAGTGACGAGTCAGGAGCAGAGGTGAGTACTGCTCTCCCTTTCATGGCCACTTGTTACGTGGTGAGGTTTTTTACCTACGGGTTTTCCTCTAAAAAACATCGTGTTTAAGAACGTGAAATTATGATCTCCACGCTAGATGTTTGCTTAACGAGTGACGTCTATGATTGTAGCTTCGATGACCCCTATGGCGAAGTTCTACGCGTTTTCTCTATTGAAACTTCCTACATTGCCTATCTCTCTGTACACATCCGTAAACTCTCTCATTACTGACGAATTTAACGTGTCAACGACGGAAGTTGTTGTAGACCGAGTGCTTCTTCATGATGCCGCTTTAGGCGAGGTTGATGACGCCTGCAGAGTTACATGATTCGACACTGTACGCGATATTTGTAGAAAGCTTACGAAGTAAACGTTTCCCCCTATTCTTGACCTTCCGCATCGTCAAATGGAACGATAATTACACGGTTCTTCTGTTGCTTCAAAGTTCAAACCGTCATTTGGCGAGATGACGTGATGCCGTGTTCGCGCTCGACGGGACTTTTTGCTCAAAAACTCGTGCTTTTTTGCGACTTCCTCATGCTCATGGCTTTCACTTCCGCCTGTTGAGAAAAGGATGGAACGCTGGAACACGACGGATCATTGATCAAAGGCTGCGGTACGAAAGGTTTCGCGGTGAAGGTTACAGTTCACCATCGAGCGAAAAGACAGACTTCGGGGAGCTTAAAAACTCAAACGGTGGGTCTCCTCGCGGAAAAGTCTTGATCCAATCAAACTTTTGGCTCTCCGAGCGATCAAGTAGGTTCATATATCCAGATCTCAAAGCCTTTCCGGCATGTACTCTAAACCGGGGGTACTCAAGGTGATCCGAGTTTGTTTAGCAATGATACTTGGTGGCGGCACATGGCTCGGCGGTACTTGGCTTCCCTGAAGCTCAAGGGCCAGATTGCTGCAAAATTTACTGCCATCGGAGGAATAAATCACTGCCTTGGATCCGCAGTTCTCGGTTCACCCATACCTGCTTGCACCTGATGCATCACTGCATCGCTGATAAACAACACGAGCACGACACGAAAACGACATTGGAGCGGCAGAAATCATGACAAACGAACCAACGGACAGAGTCAAAGATAGAATGTCGAGTGAATGCGCCGGTTCGTTCCTGTACCTAGGTACCTATTCATCACACGAGAAATGCTAACAGCAGCTTAGATGAGCGGCCGCCTCCTTGCGCGTCGCACACAGCTCAAGATCTAGAGGCGAATCGATCAAGTAATCCCAGTACGCACGATAAAGAGCATCCAACTGCTTCCCCTCCGCCATCGACTGCGTGCCCACATGCGGCCACACCGGCAGCACCACCGCCACTGCTACAGTGGGAGTACTGGGCGGTCGTTATAGGAGCCTACATGACTTACTGGATTTTCTACCTGTCGGCGGCTTGTCTTATCTCCAGTGGGCTTGGCGTCATGAAGTTCCACGCAGCGAAGGAGGGGTGGGAAAATTGCTGTATGCATATTGGAGTGATCACTTCTAACATCTTCGAGCTCCTGTTTGCAGTTTTCTTGTACATTTATTTTAAGCAGTCGAAATCTGCACCTGAACCTGCACCTTCATCTTAAGCAGTGGAAACCATCAGGCTGGGTGGCCGAGGGCCGAGGCGAGCGGGTGCTGCTTTGATAGGTGCCGCGGCCGGCGGTTGTGGACATTTGTTTTTCTCTACAAGATTGTTTGCGGCAGTGCAGTAAATACCTCTACGTAGATTTCCTAAGCAAATGTGTGGATGTTCCTGTTGACGGCGTGCGGTGAACATGACTATTCTCTATCTTCAGTTCCTGCAATCCCCCCTCTGCTGAATATTGTCATTCTGCGTCTGCCTTGGTAATGCCAATCCTCAGACCAAATCTTGGTGCAGATGGCCAGGTTGCATTGCGTAATGCAGCCGCTTCGATCAGAGGGATGGATCCGAGTCGATTAAGTACGCCTAAATTACCTTCATGAAAATTTCAGACTTCTCACCAGAGTTTATCGTAAAAAGCGTATATCATGTTTACAGTCCACGCACACGGCCTACATTGGAGTACCTCCCTCGTTCTCTCGTATTGCGAAACGTGAATTTAGATTGATCCACCGCGTGCACCCACTCCTACCTAATTTCTAAAGAAACCTATCCCAAAAGAAAGGAAAAACATCTACCATACTAGAAATGCATCCTCGCCAGCCCACTTCTAACAGCCAAACATCCCAACTTCTAACTTCCAACTTCCACACATCAGCGGTAATCCATGCACCAGGCGGTGGATAAGCTCGTCGTTCAGCTGGACCCTGCTCCTGGCCATTTGCCAAAATGATGCAGCAGAACAAAAGGTAGTGCTATCATAGCGCCGAGCTTTCGGATCAGACAGTATCAGCGACATCGAACACATCGGGGAAGATGGGCATTGAGGCGGCGGAGGAAGGGAGTGAGCTTTGTACTGACCAGAAGGATAGTGATGATGATAATGAAGGCATCACAGGGGATTATCTTATAAGTACTTCGGCCACCTGTCGCCTCATAGTGTCAGTTAATCACGGAGACGTATCGCGCACGGCCATGTATACCACATTCCGTCGCTTGATTGTACGAATTCCTTGTGATCGTGGCCGCTGAGGTGAGCGTGTAAGCTGGAAGTTCACAGTTAGCATCGACAGGGTTGAATTCTCTGGCGGATCTGTCGGTGTACTCCGGTGGAGGTGTGGCCGTGTTTCCGCATTCTAAATCATTGATCCTTCCGGTAGGACTAGACTGTCTCTGCAGTGGAAATGAATTGTTGACGATAGCCATGACCGAAGACCGAGATTGTAAAGTGCTTGCTGGTGTTCAAAGCGGAAGCAGGGACAGTATGTGGCACTTATGTAGTTGCAGGACCAGCCTCAAAGTCAACCTATTCGATGCAGCTGGTCTGCCAAAAAAGTCAACACTTGAGCTTGAGATTATTACTTCCGCAAATAGCTAAATGCCGTGTAAAAGGACACCATCACACACTAAAATAACTGTTTATGGGTGGAAGAAGACGAGCTGTTCACCGTACCGGAAAAGTATGTGACAGCGCGAAACCATAGGTACAGATGAAGACAAAAGATGAATTGGCCCGAATCCGGGTTTGAACCGGAGACCTCCTGCACCCAAAGCAGGAATCATACCACTAGACCATTCGGGCTGTTACTGTGAAAGCTGCTGACGTGAGACGCCTTTACATGCCAATTTCATTCCACCTCACGTTACACAGCGCTATAGCTCCACTTCAGCGTGCTAACTCGGTATATAGCGGAGACTAACATCGGCACAAGTGATTATCATACATATAATCGCGAGGCATAAGGAGTTCTACGATCGGTGGAATCATTGCAGATACCGAATCAATTCCCGCCGTTTTCAAAGCGAAGCGAAGGTAAACTCAATGGAGTAACCCGCTGGAAACGCCAGCGATATATATACACATTTATCCTTTCAAGGAATCTATGTGCAGTTGGATTTATTTCCGATATACTTTTTAGGATCAGTCTTGGTACAACACTGGTTCAGCGGGCGGTGCCACTTCATCTTGCTATTCTCGCTTACCTAGTAGACCACCCGGTGAGCCATAGTTACCACCACGGTTCTAAAGAGGTATATCCAATGCAGTGAGAGATAAGGGTACAAGAAGGAAGGAAAAAAGCTGTGAAAGTGGTTCACGTTCTCAACTGACTCCTAAAGTCGTAAAAATTGAGTCATGTCATTATATAGCTCGGATGGTCTAGTGGTATGATTCTCGCTTAGGGTCGCTCCTAAGCATCAATTGCGAGAGGTCCCCGGTTCAAATCCGGGTTCGAGCCGTTCTCTTTTGCGCCTGGTTCCTATTTTCTAGTGCGCACACCATATGCTTTTGGTTTTCGCCGGCAGACATGCGGAATTAAAGAAGGAAGGACGCAGTTCACCCTCATCGTTATCGATGACTCGCCCCCAGCAGACGTGCGTGCTACCTATCAAGTACAGTGGGGCAAGGTGGCTGTCTGCGAGCGACGTCTTCCAGATGGTAGGTGCAATCCCCGTAGCTATATGCTGACCGGAACCGCAGCTTGACACCTCGGAGTCCGAAGGATAAGGTGTTATACCGTGAACGGGACCTGTTGACATGGTAGATCTGGTACCTGTATCAACTCCGGCATGAAATATCACTCTGATCACCTCCACCATTCTTCTCGGAGATCTGTCGCTCACCGTTTTGCAGTCAACCAGAGGGCTTGGGGTCACCTATGAGTCTGTTGGCATCAGGCTGAAGGAAGCGGGCAAGAATAGCGTTAAATAGAATCCTCAGAAATCTCCTCGAATGTGAGAAACCGAGTGATTATGCGTGACGGACGTCACCTACCTAGATGATATCAGACATCGACTGACCTAGGATGTGCGACGTGTTGCAGACGTCTATGAAGTAAACTACCAATACCCTAGGTGATACGATCATTTATGACGAAAGTCCCTATCTGAGTTTGTCGATCGCCTACTGGTATCTCTCCACTCCAAGGATACTAGTTTTTTTCCCGATGGTGCCACCAAATACCTCCCACAAAACGCGGAAACGGAAGGTGACGAAAGAAAGAACGTGAACGTTTGAAGGATGTTGTTCTAGATGAAAACAGCTCGGGTCGGGGTTACTATAGGGCCTCTTCGTTGGTGGGAACTGGTCGCGCACACGCAGTTCAACCCTGCGCCTACTGATGGCTCGCGGTTCGCATCATTTGTCTACACATGAAATGGCTTGACTGAGCGCAGGCGAAGATCAATATCTGGGCTTCATTGGTCCTAAGTATTCCAGCCGTCGTTACAGAAGTGTCATGTGTCGCCCACGGCGACCAGGACCAGTTCCATCGGGAGCCATTTTGCTGGGACATAGTGGTCAATAATTGTCTAAATACGAGAAACATTGATCAAGTATAGTACTACCATCTTAAGGTGAATGGACAGCCCCAGAGCTGGTAGATTTGTGGCCTTGATGCTCATTGAAGAAATGATATATATCGTCGGTTTCTGTGAGAATGGCGAGTGAGTGTACATGACCAAGGGGTGTACTTAGCGATGACGCCATCGGCTGGCTCTCTCAGGGTCGGTCGAGTTTTGGCGCGTGGTGTCTCACCGACTGAAATCTCCGAGTCTTGAGGTAGATTGCATGTCGCTTACTTTCAATACTGGATGACCACGTGGATTCCTCTACATATTTGTCGCTCATGGCTGCCTCCATTTGCGCACGTGACTAGACACAAGCGGGGTCGCGATCGATCCTTCCGAGCCTAGCGTGGTGCGGGGTAATCCGGGTCACCCCGCACCACAATTTACGTGAAACGCAGCGAGCAGCAGGAATCGAAGCTTAGGTTCTCCCAGGGGGTGACGTCTTTTACCCAGAGCTGCACGCGCTTTGCTGTAGCTAAGTCCGTTCTTCTACGTCGCCCAACTTTTGATCGGGTTCGTTCTTTCGCACGGTTCACATCGCCAGCCAACCCATCGTCAACCCAGTTACCCCGCAAACCACCGTCGTTGCTCCATCCATCACCGCCGCCGCCACCACCGCCTCGCGCTTCCTCCATCATCCCATCAGCCATGCCCGCGCCGAAGTCGAAGGCCTCCGCCGCAGGTGCAGCTGCCGCTGCCGCCGCCCTCCCGACGAAGAAGAAGCCCGTGAAGGTGGTCGATGAGGACGATGAGTTCGAGGACTTTCCAGCCGAAGGCATGTCTTACGCGATGCATCCCCACCACCTCTACCGTCGCGCGCACAAGGACTGATGTATGGGTGTTCTGGCGGACAGACTGGTCACCCGAGACCGACGAAAAGAATCAAGATACCGGAAAGAAGCCGTGGGAGGAGACTTGGGACGACGATGAGGCGCTCGATAGCTTTTCGACGCAGTTGAAGTAGTCTTGCCTTCCTTGCCAACTATGGCTTCGTTGCGTGTGGAGCTGACAATATGAAGGGCGGAACAAGAGAAGCTCAAGAAAGCGAGCAAATAAGATGCACTGAGTAGCCTGTTGATCATCGATGGAGTCGCCCTCACGAACTACATTACGTTTCTACTCCTCTGTTGGCAGCGATCGGCGTGCGGATATCCCGGAATCATTTCTTACAATCTACATATTTCATTTCTCTGTACTCGTTCTCGCATTACCGCGCCGCTCGCTTGAATGATAACCTATACGACGCTGCACTTTGATCTCTTCCTATCTCGTCCCGTGAAGTCATCGATATCTAGGTGTCTGACCGTCTGATCACAGCCGCAACAGGGACAGACCGTGGTTGGTCACTTGTCTCAGCTACAAATGCGTCGCATAAGGACGAGTGGCGATAATCATTGGCATCTAAGAGGAAGTGTGGTTATTGATGGAGGAGGGGCCTGTGATGTCGGTGTGGTTATTGCGGAGGCCTCTATGCTCAGTCGCGTGCATCACTAATTGCGTAGCACGTGGGAAAACGACGTGGCCACAAGAGCGAGGCATGTCGGGAATCCGGGCAAGGTACGGATGTGTTCATCTTCAGTTTGCGGTGTGCAGGGTATAGGGCGTAGCTGCGAGGACTGGACGATTAGCAACAACCGGCATGGGTATTGTTCTGGGAGTGAGAGATCGTGCACAAAGAGTCGTGGAAAGGCAGCTGGTTATTACTCGGAGCTATTTGAGGAGGGTCGTTGAGAATGGGGGGTTTCTCATGATTGGCGAGGCGCGCAAACAGTACATCGAAGCAGGAGAAACACGAAACGAGAATACAGAAGAGATAAACTAGGTAGGTGTAATGAAAAGACGGTTCCAAAGCTAACTGATCAATAATCAAGAACGGTTCAATCGCTGCCCATGCTGGTTCCAAAGATCAACATTTTGACGGTACGCCGGGCTTCTTGCAAGTCGGGCACTCAAACCCTGTCCCGGTGCGCACACCCTTGTAGAACAGGCAGTACATATGAACGTAGGAATGCCCACACCTACTCATTTTCGCTCCGGTACCCGGGTACACGGGGCGAATGCACAACAGGCATGGCCCAACGGCGGTCGGGAGTGGCATGGCTGTGAAGATTCCGAGAAGCGTAGTCGTGGAAAGCGATTGATGTGAAAATAGCTGTGGTGCGAGCTGTAATATGTGTGTGTTGGAACCAATCTTAGGTAATTGGTGGTAGTGTGTGTGCGTATGGGTGAATTTCAGGTAGGCGGTGGATGTTGAACTGTGGTGACATGAGCGGGAAAGGGACGGAGGAAGGACGGACTTTTAACCACAAAACACAGAGCTCGCAATTCAATGAACTGCCTTGCTGTCGGCCTGAACATAGGTGACATTCAAAATGTAAATGTAGCCACTCCACTCCTCGCTTGTCGGGTTCAGACGCTGCCTGCTTCGCCTATACGTCCGCCATCTCGTTTCCTTCTATCCCTATATGTGCTGGGCACCACCGAATTTCAATTGGGCATATGATACCTGTGGTGGCGCTTCTGGCTCGCATGGCATATGTTTGCCCAGGTCTTATCTCGGTTGTCTTCACTCGTTTGATTGCGGCGGTCGAGTCTGTGGAGATGGTCACTCTCGTCAATCGAAGGCCCCATTGTAGCTGTCTTGCTGCTGCCACCTCTAACGCCCTAAAGATGGCTTCGCATTGAGCGTCATACGCTTCCTAGTTGAACCCCATGTGGATGTGGTGTCCCTTCTACTGTCGATCAGTGTTCCAGACGACCCCATATCCACATGCCCCATTCTCAGGTCGTGATCTGTACGTCCACGGTATCAGATTCGGCCTTGCAGTTATCGTCGTCGCTACTGCTTGTTTTCTATTGCCGACCCTCTCCAGGGCCGATTCTTGCTGGAGTCCCGTGGTTTCGTGTTCCTCCGGATCTCAGAGCCGAGTGATGAGCCGTCTTCCAAGTGGGCTTTTTGGGCCGATAATCTCTCTAACCTGATAACCCTTAGAGAGGGATGCAAGTCTGACTGCTGCTCTACGGGCTGGATTGTTGAGCTGTGTCTCTACTAGTCGCAGTCCACGAAGTTCCATTACTCGGATCTCTTCAGCCGGGTGTTCGCGGCGGGTGGACCAAGGGGCAGTGTCACAGTGGCAAGGCGGGCAAACATCACATGGAGACGAGGAAACAGAAGAAATCAACTATATGTAATGAAAAGACGATCCCAAAGCTAACCAACAAAGACGGTCCCAAAGCTGACTGCCAAAAAAATCAAGAACGTTCCAACCACTCCTCATGGGCTCCTCATGCTCGCCCAAAGATCACCATTTTGTCGGTGTGCCGGGCTTGTGGCAAGTCGGGCATTCGTACCCACTCCCGACGTGCACGCCGTTGTACATCAGACACTCCATGTGAATGCCGGAATGCCCACACTTGCTCATTTTCGCTCCGGTACCTGGGTACACAGGGCGATTACACAGCGGGCACGGCCCGGCGCCAGTCAACATTGGCATGGCTGTGATGATTTCGAAAACTGTGGTTGAAAGTGATTGATGTAGCGGAAATGGTTGTTGTTGTGCGATGTGCGATGTGTGTGTTTGAGCGAATCTTAGGTAATTCGTGGTTTTATTTGTGGATGTGTGAATTTCAGGTAGGTTGTGGATGTTGAGCTGTTGTGGTTGTGGAACTGTGGTGATGAGCGGGAAAGAGAGGGAAGAAGGGTCGGCCTTTATTCATAAAATACGGGGCTCGCAATTCAATGAACGGCCTACGTCCAGGTCGACGGAAACTGAGCAGACGCGGAGAAAGTATTGTGACGCCGCTGACATTTGAAATGTAAATATGGGCAGCCAAAAACTCCGATGCGTTGTGCCGCGAAGAGCGGAACGCACTCTCCACTAAAGCGGTGAGCGTAAAAGAGACTTCAACCCCTCGCATACCGCTAGGAAAATGATGTCTCGTTTCTACCGCCGTACTGAGTAGGCTCCCGATATCCTGTGGCACAGTGGATATCTAGTTCTGCACAACAATGCTGCCCAATAACGAACTTTCATTACTCCGATCTCTACAGCCGGATGTTCGCCGCGGACAGACCAAGGGACAGTGTCACAGTGGCGAGGCGGGAAAACATCACATGGAAGCAGGAGGAACACCAAACGAGAAAACTGAAGAAATAAACTGGATGTAATGTAATGAAAAGACGGTCCCAAAACTAAATGACAAAAACGAACCCAAAGCTAACTGCCAAACAAATCAAGAACGGTCCGACCGCTCGCTACAGCTCCCCGTGCTCTCTCGAAGATCACCATTTTGTCGGTGTGCCGGGCTTGTGGCAAGTCGGGCATTCGTACCCACTCCCGACGTGCACGCTATTGTACATCAGACATTCCATATGAATGCCTGAATGCCCACACTTGCTCATTTTCGCTCCGGTACCTGGGTACACGGGGCGGTTACATAGCGGGCACGGCCCGGCACCGGTCGACATTGGCATAGCTGTGGTGAAGATTTCGAAAAGTGTAGTTGTGGAAAGCGTTTGTTGTAAAGGAAATAGTTGCGCGATGTGCGATGTTCGATGTTCGATGTTCGATGTTCGATGTTCAACGTGTAATGTGCGATGTGCGTGTATGAGAGAATTTCAGGTAGGTGGTTGGTGCTGAACTGTGGTAGATGTTTAACTATGGTGATGAGCGGGAATGAGACGGAGGAAGAACGGCCTTTTATCCTTAAAACACGGAGCTCGCAATTCAACGAACTGCCTGTGTTCAGGTCAAGAGAAATTATTGTGACGGCGCTGACATTTAAAACGTAAATTTAGCCAAACACTCCGATGCGATATGCCGCGAAGAGCCTAATGAACTACCTAGGTATCCTCCTCTACAAACCAATCGACGAATCCGCGGAGACCGCAACAGAGACTTCATCCGCTCGTATACAATCAGGAAGATGATGTATCTGAAGGTGAAACCCCCTGCAGGATGTCTCGGCCGCGAGGCTTTCCCAGAGATCCCGTTATGAAGTTCCCAATGAATCATTTCGTGTTGCCTTTCTTCTCGTCAATCCTACACGGTGTTGCCGTGGTTTCTGGGTAGCTCAGCTTTCATCAGATCCACCGAGCGACCATGATCTCGGAAACGTCCGACTGTTTCAAACTGCTCGCGCTGACGAAACTCGGGGATGGTGTCGGCTGACGAGTGATATCTCATAGTCGATGCGATTCATTAGATTACTGATGTGGCGCGGTGGCGTCGTGCCGCTGCCGTCAAAGTGGTTTCGTTTCGCGAAATCTTCACGTTCAATGCAACTCTATCGATATATCTAGGACTGCTGGCCCAATAGCGGGTTTTCCTGGAGGAAATGGACTGTCATGGCCCCAAAGGACCTAATCATTCCGATCAATATGACATTCAGTAGGACCTGGCATGGTGTCGTGCAGAGAACGGCGAGTGTCGGGAGATGTGAAGAGACTTGTTTGTACACCAGACTAAAGCTATCAAGCTTCTGAAACTTCATTCCAGCTGAAAGCTGCTGTATTAACGCTATAGCACTCCCTGATGCCAATCACAGAGCCTCCTTCGCTCTCTTCTCCGCCATCATCTTGCGATACTCCTCGATGATGTTCCTCCTCTGGCCGGCGAGCTCCTCTCTCTTCGCCAAACTTCCTGCACTCTTCGGTACGCCGTCCACATCCACCGCCGCAGCCGCCTTACCCCCCAGATACAGCAGCGCCCGAGGTTTCTTCAACGTAGGCGGCGCCGCAGCAACGTCTCCAAACTTGATCTGTTCCCTCTTCTTTTCCAGGTCCGCCCATGGATCCGGGCTGTCCCCGCGTCTTTTTCCCCTCTTCCGCTTGGCCGCCTCAAAGCCTTCCCTCGCCTGCCGCAGCATATCCTTTTCCTCGTCGTCATCGTCACTGTTGATCTCTTCACCCTCCTCCGGCTCAAGATTACTATCGTCCTCATCTTCCTTCACAACCTCTTTCGTCTTCTTCTTCTTCTTCTCCCTCGCACTCCCGTTGCCGCGCGGAAACACAACCGGTATCGCCTGGTCCACCCGCCGACCGAACTCCCGGAGGGACTCGCCCGGCTGAATTTTGAGATCCGAGCGCGTCGTCTTCTTCTCCTCTTCCGGCTTCCGTTTCCGTTTCTTGTCCCCTCCTTCATCCAGCCCACTCCTCTTCGAACCGCCAGACATCATGCGCGCGAATGCCTTGGGCGTGTCATCCTCATCCTCCCATCGTTTCGCGCCAGGTTTCGATTTGCGTTTACGTTCCTTGGTTGTCGAGAGGTTGGCTGTCTTGGCTAGTTTCGTCGGGGGGAGATCGAAGCTGCGTGTGCGGTTAGGTTAGCAAAGGTGGAGCGGGGTGGTTGAGAGAGGGTGGGGTTACTCCAGCTCTTGGTCCTTGTTGCGGGCTTTTTTGTTGACCATTGCAGCGATTGCACGATCGACGTGAGGCAGGCAGGCTATGCAGGGGGCAAGATGGTGTGGAGACTGGTGGTGGTGGAGTTGGATTTGTGATCGTTCGCGGTGGAGTCGGATTCGTGACCGTTCGCGGTGAATTCAGCTTCGCTGAGTTTTTTTGGAGCCGCATGCAAGGGCACGGATGTGCTAACCGCACCGGGATGGCGCGCATTATGTCATAAGGCGTCCGGAAGGAATCTCACGACGAGCCGCAGTGCGACGTCTTTCCTATCCTCCATAGATACCAGCAAGCTGAATGACACGACCGACTCTCCCACCGGACAGCGAGACCGTCGCGAAAGAAGGTGGTTATTTGAGTTGCGAGTTGCGCGATTCTCGTTCGTCATTGCGATCCAGGTACGCAGCGGTAATCAGTCACTGCTGTAGGTATGTCGCGCTGATCAATCCAACCTCGGTATTGCCGTACTGCCGAGCCGGAAGCACTGATATCGCAGGCAAACAGCATCGTCCGAGCTCGCCATCGTATCCGTGCACACGGTGCAACTCAACTCTCAACTCGGAACATCGCTGTTCCAGCACCTATCCCCCCGGCTCCGAACCCTGCCCACCGAACCCACCTACGACTCACCATGATCCCATGAAGGAGTCAGAACTAGCTCACTATGGCCTCGAATCGTCAGGATACCGCTGCGGATCTGTGATCGAAACCCATCTACGGCACATTCCTGCCGGATGTCTCCAAGCGAGACACGGGGCGCGTTAGTATGTATCAGTGCTTGATGAAGTTAACTCCGGGTTCACTGATCACCGACAGAATTCGCGTACCACGCTAGCTCTCCGTCGAGATCTTAGTGCGGAATTCCTGACTCCAGGAACCGGCGCGTCCAATAGGAAGCTTGGGGGAATCAAGAGGCGATTTCAACGTTCTTGAATTCTTCTTCGGACATGCGTAAAAACGCACTGACCAGTTACGCGGCTGTTCTTTGCACCCTTGCGATCGGCTCACCGAAGAACATCGCCGAACTGGGATCGACCACATAATGGGGCCATAGAATTCGGAATAGCCAGCCAAGGTTCACGTGTGGATCAGCGTTGCCGGATCGGAAAGCCGTCCATCCCATGAGGGGTGATTGTTGTGTGAATTTTCACGGTGGCGCTTGCCCTGTCAGTGGACTACCACAGTACCGTATGGACGGTTGGCCGACACGTTTTAGATGGCGGGAACGGCAGGCGGTCAGCGGTCATCGGCCGCTGCTTATTTTAACGTCGTGTGTATGTAACGGCTCCCCGTTGGTGGTGGTCGCGTAGCCGGAAATTTACTCAAGCTAACGGTGACGGGTAAGCCAGCCGATTCGCGCTATTTCTCCGCGCGCCAGAACGCGGAAGAAAAGTTCGTTCCTTGCGTTGGATTATCAAGCACACCAAACCCCAGTTTGCAGGGTTGCGATTCGCAATCCACGGTATTCCGAGCTCCATCGTCGGAGTTCATGGTGATGTCCGCCTGCGTTAGGACGGGATCGCGTCAGTATCTAGCCCATGCCAGGGAACTACGATAGGGCGAACGGGGAGAACTATAAAGGACCTGCCCCGCGATAGATGTTCAGGTCATTCTTCGACAGAAAGCCAAATAACCCCATACCATCATCTCATCTTCTCAAAAAACCTTTCACCTACACGCCATCATGTCCTCCCCTCTCGAGAACACCAAGCTCTTCACCCCGCTCACGCTGGGCAACATCACACTCAAGCACAGAGGTACAATCTGACCTTGCAGGCGTGAAAGAGAGCTCTATTGACCGACGTCCGTTTATAGTTGTCATGGCCCCTCTCACCCGTGATCGTTCGCCCGAGCATATCCCCGATGACTTTGTCGACGAGTACTACGCGCAGCGCGCCTCAGACGGAGGTCTGCTCATCTCCGAGGCTACGCATATCTCTGTTATGGTATTTACGATCCCCATCACCGGCGCGCTCAAGGTGGTACAGCGATAGCTAATACCTCGGCTCATGCAGGGTGGAAACTACCACGGAGTTCCCGGAATTTTCACACCGGAACAGAAGCGCGCATGGAAGAAGACTACCGACGCGGTTCACAAGAAAGGCGGATTCATCTACTGCCAGCTGTGGCACGTAAGTTTTCCCTTCCTTGCCGTCACAGCATCTGGTCTCTCACTAACCAAGGTTTGCTTTAGATTGGACGCGTTGCGCACCCGGCAAACATGGGTGGTCGCACTCCCCTTTCTTCCTCCGCCACTGAAATCGAGGGCAACGTTGTTTACTTCACCCCCAAGGGGCCCCTTCCTGGTGTTAAGGCTGCCGAGATGACCTTCGAGGACATCAAGATCACAATCGAGGACTACGTTCATGCCGCACAGACCGCCATCGACGCCGGTTTCGACGGAGTTGAGGTCCACAGCGCCAACGGCTACCTCCTCGACCAGTTCCTGTGTGACAACATCAACCAGCGCACCGACAAGTACGGAGGCTCCATCGAGAACCGCTCCCGTTTCCCTCTTGAGGTCACCGACGCCGTCATCGCCGCCATCGGTGCTGACCGCGTTGGAATCCGGTTCTCCCCCTTCGGCTTCTACCAGGAGACCAAGAGTTCGGACATCCACGGCCAGTACGGCCACGTCATGGCCGAGTGCGACAAGCGCGGTCTCGCCTACGTGCACCTGGTCGAGCCCCGCAGCGACCTCATGAACAGCGACAGTGTCAAGCAGCAGCAGCTCAGGGAGCTCGCGAAGGCGCAGGGCAAGACCGAGGAGGAGATGCTTACCATCAAGCCCTTCCGGGAGATCCTGAAGAACACCCCTCTCATCACCTGTGGTAGCTTCAACGCCGAGAACTCTCTCCAGCCTCTCGAGTCGAACACTGCAGACGCCATCGCTTACGGTCGCTACTTCATCTCCAACCCCGACCTGCCCCACCGTTTGGCGAAGGGCCTCGAGTTCACCCCATACGACCGTAACACCTTCTACACCACCGGTCGCGAGGGTTACACTGATTACCCCACTTACGCTGAGGCGAAGTTGTAGGGGATTTGCATTTTTGGGAAGGGCTAAGCGTGGTTTATGTTGATGGCATTGTTTGATTGGTTGTAAGAATTAAGAGGCATGTAAATTTAGACGATACCAGGCGCAAGTCGAATGAAGTCGTGATCACTATCTTTGCGAACACCTGTTGTGATTCATGTTCTCCATACGTACCCTTTGATATCATTTCGAGTGTCACAGAGGAGACTATCCACATCTCACCATATCCTCACCCTTCCGGACTCTTTACCTCCCCCCACCGCTGTCCCACGCGTGCATCAGCACCATATGCATACAGCCGCGAGGAGCACTGGCCATGGCCATCGCTCGGGCATATCCAGCCGTCGTGTAAGCTGAGGGAAACACGAAAGTCCTCCATAAGTTGCATTGCCTCCGACACAGGCCATCACTCGAAGCAAGGAAAGATATTTTGAAAGTCTGGGTCGTTACAATACTTTCTCCGCGTCTTCTTACGTTCTGTCAGCCTGAACATAGGCAGTTCATTGAACTGCGAGCTCTGTTTTTTATGGAAAAAGGCCCGTTCTTCCTCCGTCCCTTTCCCGCCCATCGTCACAGTTTAACATCCACCGCCTACCTGAAATTCGCTCATACACACACATCGCACATCGCACCTCGCACAATAACTATTTCCTCTACAACAACCGCTTTCCACCACTACACTTTTCGGAACCCCCACAGCCATGTCGTCAGTCTGGACCTACGCCGTGCCGTGCCCGTTGTGCAATCGCGCCGCGTACCCAGGTACCGGAACGAAAATGAGCAAGTGTGGGCATATGGGCTTTCACATGGAATGTCTAAAAAACAAGGGTGTACGCGTCGTGTGTGGCTATCAATGCCCGACTTGCCGCAGGCCCGTTACAGCGGCAAAATGGTGATTTTTGGGGGAGCATGGGGAGCGATTGAGACGTGCTTGATATCTTTGTCAGTTAGCTTTGGGATCGTCTTTTGATTAGATTACATCCAGTTTGTTTCTTCTGTTTCCTCGTTTCGTGTTCCTCCTGCTTCCATGTGCTGTATGCCCGCCTCGCCACTGGGACATTGTGCCTTGGCCCATCCGCCGCGAGCACTCGGCTGAAGAGATCGGATCAATGGAAGTTCGTGATTGGGGATCCTTGGTGTGCAGAATTAGATACCGACTCTGCAACAGGATATCGGGAGTCTTCTCGGCACGGCCGTAGAAACGAAAAAGTAGTCGGAAATCAAGATTCCGAGTAGAATTCAACACACAAGACCGGATTCCCCTCACAACGGTGGTTTTACGGTAGTTTTATCTGTCCAGTGCCCCCGTTTTCCGTTCGGGGCCCGAGAAATACGGTCCCGTCCGGTGCGTAACCCAGGACGGACTGGACGGACAATTCCCATGCCTGATGTCAGAATATCAGGAGCCTTCTCGGTACCGCCATAGAAACGAAACATCACCTTCCTGGCTGTATGCGAGGGGATGAAGTCTCTGTTATCCTGACTATGGCGTCGTCGATGGGTTGTAGCCATGGAACGTGCGTTCGACTCTTGGCGGCACAGCGCATTGGAGTCTCGGGCTACATTGATATTTTGAAAGTCGGCGTGGTTACAGTACTTTCTCCGTGTCTTCTTACTTTCTCCGTGTCTTCTTACTTTCTGTCGGCCTGAACAGAGGCAGCTCATTAAATTGCGAGCGCCGTCTGTCATAGATAAAGGCTCGTCTTTCCTCCGTTCCTTTCCCGCTCATCACCACAGTCAAGCATCCACAACAGCTCAACATCCACCACCTACCTGAAATTCACACATACACACACGAAACGACGAATTAACTGACATTCGCTCATACACACACATCCCACATCGGACATCGAACATCGCACATCGCACATCGCACAATAATCGTTCCTCTATAACAACCGCTTTAACAACTACACTTTTCGAAATCATCACAGCCATGACCTCAGTCTGGACCTGCGCCGGGCCGTGCCCATTGTGTAAGCGCGCCGTGTACCCGGATACCGGAGCGAAAATGAGCAGGTCTGAGCATCAAGGCATTCACATGGAATGTCTGCTCTCCAAAGACGTGCTCGTCGGGAGTAAGTTTGAATGTCCGACTTGCAAAAAGGTCGGCACTCCGGCGAAATGGTGATCTTTGGGCTATCTTGGGGCGAGCATGGGGGGAGGTCGGACAGTTCTTGATTTGTTTGGCAGTTAGCCTTGGGACCTTGTTTTCATTTCATTAGATGTAGTTTATTTCTTCTGTTTCCTCGTTTCCTGTTCCTCCTGCTTCCATGTGCTGTAGCCTGCTTGCCCGCCTATCCACTGTGACACTGTCCCTTGGTCCATCCGCTGCGAACACCCGGCTGAAGATATTGAGTAATGAAATCAGCTCGCTATCTTACGCCGCTTGGCTTCCTGTACGATCCGAAGTGAGTGAGTAGTTACCCCGTACAATCCTACGGTACCCTGGGCCATAGTGGTCCATTCATACGTAGGTTTTCCCCCCCGGGACGAACATACGATATCACTCGCATATTCGCAGTTAGGCTCGCGATGGTGAGTTGTTGAACGTGTGGGAGTACCTACATGCGCCGAGGAGACAGCTGGATGATACTCGATTGTAGGGTCCGGGAGCCTCTGAGTGGGACTACGAGGTCTGGTCTGATAGTATTTTCATTGTTCGGTTCTGCGGAGCTCACCAAGAGACTCGTTTCTACATCCTTAGTGCTTGGGCGTACACTTATCGGTATAGATTCCAGACTAACTGATGACTTCCTCGGATTGTGAGGAGTCTGCAAGGTAAAAGCCAGGCTGAAGGCACGAAGCATCTCCCCGGCAATCGCAGATTTTTCACTCGGTGTGGCATCAAAATGTGGCGTCAATATGTGGCAGGTGTGGCGGTGCGCACACACCTAATCTCATTGCTTATCCTTATCCAAGATTTACGTCCAAGTTACCCAAACTCACTGTAAGCACAACAACGCGCCCTCGCCAAACTTCCTCACCACCTCTCCGTCTCCGTCCGTGCCACCACCGAGTAGCAACAATCCTCTAATGAAAACCTTAACCTCCTCCAATTCCCTCCCAGTAACCTTAACCAGCACAAACCCCCTCACGCGGGCCGCCGTCCATACAACGCCGCCCTTGCGCTCGTCGTCTTTCTTGAAGTCGCCTCGATTATCGAAGTTCCTCCCGCCGATCCGGGGCTCATCCCTGAACTTCTCTAGAACCGCTTCCTCGAGCTTTACGAAGAGAGGTCCGTGAATCATGACCGTCGCAAAGACGGTTTGCGACTCCATGCGCTCGAGGAGCCTGCCGGCTTCGCCGTCGCCGGTGAGGACCATCGAGTCGCGCAGGAGCAGACGCGGCGCAAGCCCCTCCCCCTTCGGTGGAGAAAAGAACTCGTTCCGGGAGATAAACGAGGATAGGTTCCAGTGCTCGCCGCGCGCGGATCGGCCTTCGGTTACCCAGTCGAGGACGATGAGCGAGGCGGTGTCGTCGGCCGGAAGGTGGAAGAGTTGGTGTTGCTTGTAGTTTGAGGCGGCGAAGGGTTGGATCGGGTCGGGTAGGAGGAGGAGCGAGGAACGGGGCTCGAGCGTGCAGGTAAGCGTTTGGGTTGTGCGATCGGAGGGGTCTTTCTGCTTGAAAACTTTGGTGTGGCCTGCCTGGATGGTTAGCAACTATCCCGCAGGCATGCTGGAGAGGAGAGGAGGAGGCTCAGACACCTTGAGTCAATAAACACAGCTTCGCGGCTTCTTCAACGGTAATCCTAAGGTCGATCTTGTCGTTCGAGACGAGGCCTCCACCGTAGCTAAGGATGAAGACGGTAAGGCATTTTGAGGACGGCACTGAGGACGAGATAAGTTTGAGAGGGTACTGAAACGAGAGCGACGGCAAGACCAGGCGCGCAGGAAGTAAAAGACGTGCACATATCACGCCGTGGCCGGGTGCGCTGCTCATTTGCCAGGGAGCGCGGGGGTGGAGCTAAATGTGCGAAGCTTATTGGTGCGGGGTAGGTATTCCGCGCAGATCACTGAGCCGATATTGTGGTACCGAGTGTTGTTCAATCAACCTCTGTAGGGACGAGATGGAAAGTGCATATCATATCGAGAGACATTGAGTGTCGCGGAATCCAACGGCGATCGATATCTTCAGCTCCGAGATAAGTACTGGCCGGTTGGGTTACGTACGCGCATAGTTATGTATACGTTCCGAAGACGTCATGATTTACCCTGTCGATGTCGGTTGCACACGGGAGCAGCCCCTGCAACCCCGCACACGCTTGGGATCCTAGCCCCGCTCCCGCGACTATCTCCGACTCATCACTTCACGATCCCTCGACCTCCATCCCCTTCGCCCCGCCATTACTTATGCCTTTCCACCAGGATGCCGTGGCTCTCCGCATTGTCAAGATACCCGTGGTCACCTCACAGGCTAAACTAGTGAGCCTCTCCGTTCGATGACATACCTTCACGACTTCTGGTTCACCCCAATCGTACTCTCCCAGCGTCATACTAATACCCGGGTTTCATCGGCACATGTGCACAGTCCAGACCAGGAGAGCTACCCACCAACCCAACGAATACCTTGATCTCCAGCGACTCGTCGTGTTGCCCTCTCCCCAGGATCGTGAAAACCGTCATCCCGCCGATTCCATTCCGACTGCCGGCCCCAGCACCGTCAAATCCCGCAAGCCCTGGCGGCGGATGACCATCCGTGGGCCACACCATCGATATCGTGTCCGAGATTCGCACCTTCTTCGATCCACTGCCCACCACCCTACACGACATGAATCCCGTCGTGATAATTCTACTGGCGGCTGTGCGGCGGGCAGGGGATGGGAATCAGATGCAGTAGAGGCCGCAAGTGTTTCGGGCTGGGCAAGAGGCCGTGCGCGCAGATGCCGGATGGCGTCGTCTCGTGAACTCGGCTGTAGCATCGAGTGGTAAACGATCGCCGGTTGGCCGTTGCTCAAAACATCTCCAGATCGACCGGTTCTGCAGTAGAGCCCTAGTAACCGTCAGCGCACCGAAACCCGCCGCGTTAGAGCAAAATGCTGTGGACTGTGGAATCCCATCTCCCCGAGAGCAGCAGGAAAGGACATGTAGCACTGAACATACCATGCCGTTGCAATCACGAGTAATCGCGACCATTGAACACCTTCTCTCGAGTGAAACCGCTGGATCCTGCGTACAATGAACTCTCATGACCAGCGGTAAAGTTTCCGTACTGGACGGCGTGGTCGCTGTTATTCTGCGAGTCGGTCGAGTCGTCGAACGGGATGATATCGGTGGACAGCTGTGGAAGGAAGAAGTGCGGAACTGTTCATATCTGTGGTGGCGGTCGTGTTGGTGGTTGTGGTGTAGGGTGTTGGAAATGGGGGATGTAGCACGGAGGGCGGGGAGGGCGGGGAAGGGATGGAGGGGTCAGGTGACGAAGTACGTCTGAAGGTATGTCCTTGTGCAATTGGGTCGACTGAACCGAGGCCATTGCGCGTTGGAGGGAAAGTCTCAGATCATATATGAAGCCAAAACACCAGTTCCGTGCACATCGTCATCGTCCTCGACGCGCACGCGACCGCAACAGGCACCAACCGATCGCGTGCAAGAAAACGTAACGACATCGGTTGGGACAGGGCAATAGTCCCCGTAAATACTGGACAGGGAAGAATTTATTGTCTTTCTCTCCGATAATTTCTGTCGGTCCTCCTAGTTTTTCCGCCACGACCGACCCCAGCGCTCCCGGCACCTCGCTTGAGCCGCATCCGCAATGCTCATCGCCCGCCACTCACAGATCCTACACGTCCCAACCACGCGCCTCGTCCGACAATAAGTTTATCTTCCAACGAATCACCCGCCGACCCATCCACGCGACCCATCCCACCGCGTCCTGACCCGATCACTGACCCGACCCCATCGCCATACTCAGGGTCTCCTCTCTGCAACACGTAACCCGCTCACACCTTTCCACGATCCATCACGATGTCGCGAGCTTCGAGAACGAAGTCCACTCCCCCCACAGCCGCCGTCGCAGAGGCAGAGACCATGGAGGTCGACGACGACGATGACACTAGTTCACTCTCGTCCCTCAGCGACACTGAGGATCCTCTGCCCCAGCCCCGTCGCGACGCGTCGAACACCCCGGCGCCGTCCGCGAGCGACAATGCGAATCGGCGCCGTTCCGGTCGTGTGTCTAAGCCGGTCAAGACCATGTATGAAGACGCGCTGAAGGAAACCGCGACGCGTAAAAAGAGGAAGAGGGTTGTTAGGGAGGAGAGCAGCGACGAGGAAGAGGAGGAAGAGGAAGAGGAGGCGGAGGAGGATGAACAGGAGAAAGCGGATGAGGGGGAGGAGGCTACAGGGGAGAAGGAGAAGAACGGTGAGAAGGCTGCTGAAGAAGAGGATGAACGAGAAGACGCAGATGAGGAGGAAGAGGAGGAAGAGGAGGATGAGGAAGCGCTTTCATCTTTCGATGAAGACGAGAGTACTGAGGGCGAGCCGGATGAGGAGGAGCTCAAGGAGATGCGAAAGAAACAGAAGAAGGCGGCCGCCGCAGAGGGGAAGGCGGAAAAGAGTCAGCGCGGGAACCGAGCAGGTACTCGCGGTGGCAAGCGCGGGGGAGGCGTCTCAAAACCGGCTACGAAGAGGGTCAGGACGCTCGGTGGACCAGTGCCCGCGAGGGTTGCGCGCCCACGGACTGTCGATTCGAGCGCGACGGAAGATGGCCATACCCCTGCGGAGCCGCGCAGGAAAGCACCTCCGAAGGAGAAGAAGAAGGTGCCAAATGGGAAAGCTGTCTTGAAGGCGGCTGTCATCGATGGGGATATGTTCTGTGAGTGCGATGTCTGCCTCTGACCCGTCAGCTTGATCATCCGTGACGCGTCTGGCGTGAGGGTCTCTGATCGACTGCTAACGGTTTCTCTTGTAGCCAAGGTGTTCACCGAGAATAGCGACCTCGACGACATCGCCAACGAATGGTTCTCGAAGTACCAAGCAGACAGGTCCGCAGGGATGACGGAGATGGTTAATTTCATTTTCAAGGTACGATCCGCGAACGAGATCCAAAAGTATGCCGGACTAACGGCGAAACCAGTGCTGTGGATGTGATCTCGCAGTCGATAGTTACGACACGGAAGACAATGAAGCAGCTGCTGAGGCGTTGGTGCAGGTCGAGCGGGATTTCATCGAACTAGACATCGCCGACTATCCTCTCGTATCGAAGAAGGCCCAGTTCCGCAAGTTTCGACCGCGTCTTTCCGACTTCCTCGAATCGCTCGTTGCTGCGATCGTGTCGGGAGACTTGCTGGTCAAGGATCCAATGCTGATGGCAGCACTCCCGCATTGTATCGCTACTCTCTGCCACCGCCACGTACGAGCCTTCCGGAGCACTTCGACAATCATCGCATTAGAAATGATCACCCACCTTGCCCAGCAAGCGACCGATCTCCGCCGGACGAATGGAACTACGAACCGGCAGCTTGAGGCCGAGCGAACGAACGAGGCGCCGAACCAAGCCCGAATCGATTCTCTCGCGGAACGACTGGAGAAAGGTGAGGAGAAGAGTGAAGCCGTGGAGAAGTTATTGCTGGATATCTTCGAGTCCTTCTTTCCCCTGCGGTCACGCGACTGCGATCCCAAGATTCGCATCGAGTGTGCGCGCGAGCTCACCAAGTGGACTGTAATCCTTCCGGAAGTCTTCTTCGATGGTTCATACATCCGGTACCTCAGCTGGACGATGTGCGACCCGACCGCTTCCACGCGGGCCGAAATCACGAAGGCGTTGCTCAAGATTTTCCAGAAGAACAATGTCAGCACCAGGTGTTTCCGCGTGTTTATGGATAAGCACAAGGAAATGTTGATCGAGATGGCTACTCGCGATGTGGATACCAGTGTCCGCGCTACCTCCGTCGAGCTTCTGTGTGTCGCCCGCGAGGTCGGATACCTCGAGCCGGAAGACATCGCCACCGTTGGACGTTTACTGTTCGACTCGGAGCAGAAGGTGCGCAAGGCTGTTGTGCCGTTTTTCGTCGCCCACTTGAACGAGATGTATAACCTCAAGATCGAAGAACTCGGTGGTCTGGAGGTTGTGCAGGAGGTGATAGGCGGGGAGGAACACGACGAGGAACATGACGGACCCACTCTTTCCTGGATCAAGCTGAAGTGTTTGGCCGAAGCGCTGATGATGTACGACAACGACAAAACCAACGGCGGAGACGACATACCCCGAAATCTCATCTCTGCGGGAAACAAGAACCTCGCCATCAAGGTCAACGAGATCGTCAGCCGGTTTTCCCTTGCCGGAGCAGCACTGTGGGACGCCATCGACGAGGTCCGCGATTGGGAGGGTCTGACGCGCTACATTCTCTACGATCACTCTGCCAACTCCGCTGTCAATGGAGATGACAGTGTTTCCGCTGCCGATATCGACTCGAGGATCAAGAGGGTTGTTGCGCTGGATACGAACGAGGATGTGTTGATGCTGCAGATCCTGCAGTCCAGTGTTATCGGTACCCTCCACAAGGGTCCGGACCAGGCGCGGAGGTCTACCAAAGTTGTACGTTTACCGTCCCTAACAGTTTATTTGAACTCAGCTAATTTTCATTGCACAGCGCACGGCAAAGGAGATCGAGAAATACAACGACAGCGTCTACCGTAGCCTTATGCAGTTCCTTCCGATCATGTTGAAGAAGTTCGGACCCGTGGCAGATGCGGCGTCTACCGTCTTGCGTATCGCCCAGCTGTTGAAGATGGATGTCTTCCAAGAGCTCCGTCAGGACGCCGCCTACTCGTCTCTTCTCGACGAGATCTTCCGTCAGATTCGCACACACGCGGACGAGACCGTTCTCAAGGAGGCCTGCTTGACCTTGAAGGTCGCCAAACAATTCGAGGATCTCAAGGAGGTTACCGATGCAAAGGTCGGACAGCTGCAGGATGACATTGTCAGTGTTCTCGGCACTACCATCGGTGGCAAGGATCCGGCGACAGCGGTGTTCTCGGAGATTGCGCTCGAGACGTTGATTGGTACCGTGCGACGACTCGAGCACCTCCTCAGTGTCTGGAACTGCACCGAGGTCTTGGAGACACTACTCACCGCGACCTCCGCAGGTGGGAAACACACCGTTCCCGTCGACATCCTCCTCTCGATTCTCGCCCGGCCCTACAGCTCCGAAGAACTTGAGATGGAGCTCACCTGTCACACTCTGGCAGCGCTTAGCTACTATTTCATGTGGAAGATCACCGAAAAAGACAGAGATGAATCCGCCATCGACGAACTCATCAAGCGCGGCAAGCAGATGATGTCTCGCACCAAGACGCTTCTCTTTGAGCAGAAGTCCGCCGACAGCATGAACGTCGCGTTCATGTCTGCGATCCTCAACCTGGCCACCTCCTTCCGCATGTCCGAGATCGACCGGTTATCCTCCTGTTTCGGCCCGCTCGACGAACCCACCCAAGCCACGATCCTCAAAGTCTTCACCGCGCTAGAAACCGATTTCGCCAAGCGCAGCGGCCTAGAACTGGAGCCTGACGACGACGCACCGCCGGTCGACGACGACGAAAACGTCGAGATCGCGGAGAAGAGTGTACAGCTCATGCTCGAGCAGCGTCTGTGCGAGGCCGCGAATAAGATGGTCATTTCGGCGGCGGCAAAGGTCCTGGATGTGAGGAAGGTCAAGATTCGGTTGACCAAGAATAAGGCTCTGCTGGGAATGAGCTACAAGGGCATCATCGACTTCCTGGAAAGCTTTTCGACCGGTGTCGCCGGCGCGCAGCGGAAACAGGCGAAGCGCCCGACGAGGAAGAGGACTGCTGAGGAGGCGGCGGCGGAGGAGGAGCAGCAGCTGCGGAAGCAGGCTGCGGAAGAAGAAGAGCACGTAGAGGAGGTGGCGGCCGAGGAGGAGGACGAGGAGGTGGCCGAGGAAGAGGAGGAAGAAGAGGAAGAAGAGGAAGAGCACGTTGAAGAAGAAGAGGAAGAGAAACATGAGCCTGAAAATAATGAGGATGATGACGAGGTGATGGAGGATGCGGAGTAGGATAGGATAGGATAGGATCGGATAGGTCATTTTCGTCGATGTCTTGATAAGTCGTGACTGTTTTTTTTTCTTTCTGTATGGACGTTTGGAAGTTTTGCCGGTTGGGGGGGGGGATTGCTATGGTGCGAATGCTGGTCGCGTCGCGTTGGTAAACTTGCTTTTCTGCACATGTGTTGTCGGGCGGTAATACCTATGATTCTTTTGGGCTTATGGGGTACGAGTACTCGTGGACTACGGCGGAGAGTGACCATGGTGTTGAGCGACGGTAAACAACACACGTCCGTCGCGGAGTCACCGTCGTCCACTATCTACGGCCAGCAGCGAGCAGCCACGCTCAGCAAGCTCAGCCACGCCCAGTCGCTCACTGCCAGTTTCAGCCACACTCAGAGACACTCAGCCACCAAAGCCACCCGGACCCACTATCAGCCACTATCAGCCACATGCATTAGCTCTCACTCGCCCTTCGTCGAGTCGACCAGAAACAAAAGTACGTCGATACCTTCTCGACAGCACATGACGTGACACCGTACGGCATGTTTGTTTAGTGGAGGAACTGCGATTTCTGGGATAATCAGTTGCCGAACCGGGAGAGAGGAAGGAAGTCGCCGAAAAACACACTCGGCCCTATCCATGCAGATAAATAGCGGCAAGCTACTAATTCATCCTCGCCCGACGGCAGGTATCTCGTCTACACACTGCAGAGCACTTAAGAGATACAGAGTGGTCATCACGCGGTCGAAGGTGACGCCAACGAGTTCCACGATGGGTGTCATAATCTCACGAACTTCCGTGTACCGCGCCACCTCCGCGGACCGGGTCATGAACGATCACTCGCCATGTCGAGACACTTCCGTTATCCATTCTCACACGAAGGTGCCGAGCGGCGGCGTGGGGCCTCTATCCGAGGTATCCCTGAGCCTTTCTGTATATAAACCTTTCTTTCCGCCGTGTCTGACAACCAATACACTATCTCGCGATACCACTTTTCTTGACAATGGGTGCGAATCACATAGACGAGTGATCTGCAGTGATTGCATGGTCTTCGCGTCCGAATCTTGCGAGCGCACAATGCGGGGTATTCGTGATAATACTTACGATTCCAGCCGCGATCTTGCATGCGGTCTGGCGGAGTTCCACTGTGTGATATCAGGGATGATGTTTGGAGGTTCGGGAAAGCGGGTGATTCCTTGCCGCTGGACTAAGAGAAGGGGATAGATTCCACACCAACGGTGCCTGTATGCTGCGATGATCCAGACAATTTTCAATAATTCGTCATTCAAAAAAGCTAAAAATGATTATGATACTGTCCACAGATAGCGGGAGAATATTATCTGGCACCAGACGTTTAGTCAGCTAGTTTAAACCCCAACGCTAATTCGCTCTGCCGGGTACAGCGTTTTCACTTCGGCACTAAAGTCTGGGTGAAGTCATCGCCAAAAGGGGAGGTTTCATTACCCTACCAAAAATATGCGGCGCCGCAAGTGGCCGAGTGATCGGCGGTGGAGCGCCGCGAGCGGGAAACACTCTCCTTCTCATAGTATCAATCTATTCACATTTCGCATTAACAAAATAGCGTCGCAGTCAGCTCCCGGTAGAGTAAAATCCCGCGAGCGAATCCAGTAGAGAGACCATGGCAGCGAATGTAGTCGTGAGGCTCTGTTAACAACGAACCCTCGCCGTTCGCCAACCATGATGGATTAAGATGTATGGAGTCGCTGACAATGACATTTGAGTACCAAAGAAACATGCCTCCTCGTCTCTCTCGCCGCGAATGTGGTGGTCATTTGGCGTGGGAAATTCGTCATCGCCTGCAGGCTGTGTACTATATACACTCATGGGCCACGCCAGCAATCATTATCCTGTCGCGGTTCCGCCATGCCTTCCGCAACGACACAGGTAATGGGCGGCAGGCGTTGCCATCACCTAAAGATGCTTGCTGAGAATCCCCAGGGCCTCTTCACAGCATTCGCTCCCATAGGTCTGTACTAAATTCGTTCCCATGGATGTGTGCTAGATTCGCTCCCATGACTCTATACTAGATTCGTTCCCAGGGCTCTCCACTGGATTCGCTGCCATGGCTCTGTACTGGATTCGCTGCCATGCTCTCTCTACTTGTTTGGCTACCGGGTCCTCTCTTCTGGATTCGCTGCCATTGCACTGTACTAGATTCGCTGGCTGCTAGGGAGACTGTAATAATGGATTCGCTGGCATGGCCTCAGTACGGGATTCGCTGTTATGGACTGGATGATGGGTGGTTACGTGACAGATGTCAAGTTTTTTTTAGTTGTCACGAGACAAATGTGATGTGTCGCTAGTTATTTACGATAGGAATAAGTCTGGTGCGAAACAAGGGAGAATATATGTTCTACTACGTGTATAGGGCATGGAGACCTTGCCCTACGCGACCTCAGTCATCTGACTATCGGCCAAATAGTTGTTTTTCCTACAGGTGGCGAATGACAGCATATGAAGGGCTGCAGCGGCTAGTTGAGGTCGAAAACAGGTTTTCGCCGATAGCAGATTCACCTATAAAACAATGCATCTCCACCCCTTCTTCCCTTTCCTTTTTTTTCTACATCGCACTTCCTTTGACATATCCCCCTCCACCTCCTGCTACAATCGTTTCCCCACATTTTCTTTTTTCCCATACACACAATGGTCAAACGAAGAGCGACCGACGAACTTGAAGGGGCTCCACCTGAGAGGACGTCCCGGACGGGATGTCAACCACTTTCCCTCCCTCCCCCTCCTCCCCCTCTGCCCCCCCCTGCCCCCCCAGTACCTGCGTCCGTTCCTGGACCCGGTCACGCCGTCCACCTTAGTGCTAGCACCAGGTCGAAGAGACGGGCGACCGAGGATCCAGACGGCGCAAAGTTGCCGCACGCTGAGAATTCGCGTTGGCCCGTCTCTGGGTTTGCCCTCCCTCCCCCTCCCCCTCCCCCTTCCCCATATCCCGCAGCCTTGTCCATATTGCGCGACAGGGGCGTGGTCAAGCGGGCTGAAGAGCTCGTGGTGGCCGCCCAAGATTGTTGGCAGAAGGGGAATGGTGTGGCTGTCGCACGGTTAGCGGATGAGATTCGGCTGATGAAGCAGATGGCCGATACGCGCACTGATCTATCTAAGGCGACGAAGACGAAGGTTGGAGGAGCCTTCAGACAGATCCTGACCTGGGAGATCCAACCCAGGCCGAAGCCCAGGACCTTCGCAGAAGCGGAGGTAATGGGTAGGGTGGATGCTCAGGCTCGTGCTAGGCAGCAGGCGGAGGCGGATGCCAGGGCGGGGCCTTTTGGCCAAGCCTGGCCGGAAGCGGATGCCCAAGCTCAGGTGAGGGCCCGTGATGCTGAACTCCAGCGTCAGGCTGAACTCCAGCTTCAGGGTGAGTTCCAGCGTCAGGCGGAGCTCCAGCGTCAGGCAAAGGCCATGGAGAAAATGAAGGCAGCACGTGCTCGGGCACAGGCAGAAGCGGAGGCGAGGGCTCGGGCTTTTGCTCATGCCCAAGCGGACGCGGAAGCGCAAGCTCTGGCGCGGGCCCGTGATGTGAAGGCACAGGCGAGGTCTTTAGCCCAAGCCCAAGCCGACGCGGAGGTAGCTTGGGCACAGGCGGCAGCGGAAGCGCAGGCGAGGGCTGTTGCCCAAGCGCAAGCGGAAGCAGCGGCCAAGGCTCAGGCATGGGCCAATGAAATGAACCTCCAGAAAGAGGCAGTAGCCAAGGCTCAGGCGGCCACCAAGGCTCGTGCTCGCGCACAGGCCGATGAGGAGGCCCGCCAGAAGCAGGCACAGGCGGAAGCTGAGGCTCGTGAACGAGTTCAGGCGGAAGCGGATGTGAAGGCGAGGGCTTTTGCCCAAGCCCAAGCGGAAGTCGATGCCAAAGCTCGGGAACTTGCCGGTGATGCGGACAAGCAGAGGCTGGCACAGACCACAACTGAGGCAATTGCGAAAGCAAATGCCGACGCTCAGGCTCAGGCACAAGCCAGAGCCCAGGCGGAGCAGAAGAACGCCCGGCTTCTAGCAAAGAAGCGGGCAAAAGCTGTGGCTATCGCGCAAGCGAAGGCCCAGGCTCTGGCCCAAGCTCAGGCGCAAGCCAAAGCTCAGGCTCAGGCCCAGGTCTCGGCTCAGGCGAAAGCCCAAGCCGAGACTCCGGCGCAACTTGCGCCGATTACTTCTGCTCCTGGGCCAGCACCTACCCCTGTCCAGCCACAGCCACTGCAGGCTGAGTCTCAGAGGGAACAGTCGCCGGTACCGGGGCCAGTGATCTCGTCCGCGCCTCCAACGATCGTCGCCCAGACCGAGCAGCAGCGTCAGCAGCAGTTCGAGACGGGTCTGAGGATCTACGAGGAGCGGCAGGTCCAAGCGCTGCGACGGTACGAAGAACTGCAGCGGCAGTCGCAGCAGCAGCCGGAAGCCAGCAGCACCCCTCTGATGACGTTGCGGCAGCAACTTCTGCAGGAGTACCAGCTCCATGAGCGGGAGTACGAGCGTATTGTTTCATTTCAATACGCCTACCTGTCGGAGGTACTAGCTGTGGTCAACATGCAGAGCGAGGCTGACCTGCTGGAGACGTATCAGAGGTTGGTCTGGCAGGCTCAGCAGCAGCCTGAGTTGCTTCGCATGGGCGGGGTGAATTTCATCGGGCTCTGCGAGCAGCGATGGCAGCAGCTGGAGCAACTGCGACACCAGGCGGAGGTGTACATGTTGGCAACACTGGAAGAGGGACGTGTGTGGCTGCAAGAGGTCAGGCAGCGGCTCGAGGAGGTCTATACGGCCTCCTTGTAAGGTAGGTCCTCGATTTCCTATGTTTGCATTTCTGCGTTGCTTTCTGCGTTGCTTCCTCGATAATTCCTTTCCCCCCTTTCCCCTCTGCCTTGAGTATTTTCCAGGCTCGAGTGTAGTTGCAGTTGAGTCCATACCTTTTCCTGGTGACCGACGGATCCAGGTTTTTAATGGTGAGACGAGGAGACTATGGAAGGGTGTAATATTTGTCATGTTTTTTTTTTAAAATAGAAATCCAGAAAAAAAGTTAGAAGTAAAAAAAACCATGCTGCTCATCGTGACTTTTTGCAGTTTTGAAATTTGCTTCTTTTGGGTAGTCGTGGTTGGGGGCTTGACTATTCGGCGCGTATTCGCCGTGGGTCGGAACTGCTGGTTGTGATTGAGCCGTGCCGGTCGTATATGACTTCACGCGGCAAATCCTGTGCCTTAAGTCAGCATGGACTGACCGCAATACTGCACCGCGGAGATGAGGCAGATGAGAAGTGCACCCATGGTCGTGGCGCCAGACAAAAGTACATAAGACGATGCAGTAGGTTCTTGCTTTGTCCCTTCCATTCAACTGCAATGAGAGAGAGAGTAAGCATCAAGCAATTGTCTCATACGGCCTGTATAGACTACCGCGACCTCTGATCCGACTTCTCCTGCTAGTTACCCCGGGTAGAGAGAAAGCTGTTCGACTCCCGTAAAAAGAGAGAGGGATCTTCCTGTTTTGTTTTGCGTGCAGCCTGTCTAGACTATGGCGAACCAACGCACTCCCTTTCCTGCCCGCCCTGGCCAGTCGAGGTGGAAGCCCCGGTACCGAACAGTCCGATGCGGCGCCCGCGGCGCCTCTTTCCCTGCCAACCCGCCTTGAGCCGACACAAGCAAACAGTATATTGATAGTAAAGACCTGTATGAGCCTATAGGCGTGCTCCTCCTGCTGCCCCTCGCCTCTCTCCCCCGTTTTCCGCCTTTCCGCTCCAAGAAACTATCACCGCATATCCTCATCGCCTACTTCCTCGTATCGGCTGTAGACACAGTATCCTGCGGCCCGATGAACACTCTTACTCTGCTCCCGACGCGATGCTATCGCACTCTGCGAGAACTGATGTCAAGAAAGGGAAATACGGAGCCCGAGTGCGAAGATGTGATCGCGATTTCGGGCGTCTGGACAGGGCAGGATGAAAGGCTGATGCAGTAGGAGAGAAGATGTGCACGATCCGCACAGGCAAGAAAGCGGGTGATGATGGTGTGGCTGCTTCTAGACGATGAAGGCTTCCAACCGGAAGTGTGGGTTTCCGTCTCCGAGCAACCGTAACGAGTCGATCGTAAAATGCAGGCCGTTGCGACTAGCAGAGCACATCTTCTGCGCACAGCACTTCAAATATCCTGTGCAATAATTAATAATACTGGAGACCATGCGGAAGATACATTAATATCCTCTCGCTGAGAGGCGTTTGAAACCAGGTGTGGATATTAATTGTCCAGAAAAGTGGTATAATGAAGTAATGTACAGTGTCTCGTAGCCAGAAGAAGAAGAAAGGAATATAGACAGAAAGGCGCGGGGGTGTGTGTGTCGGATAGAGGCCGCTCGCCACCTCCGTGAGAACGGATGACGGAAGTGTTGATATTATGCGTCTTATTGTCTGGTCCCGAGTCACTGCTACTCTCCACTATTCTTTGCTACTTTCCAGTGTCTACTTTCCACTGTCCTTTGCATACTTCCCTTATCTCCTTCGTGGCTGCTTAACATTATCTATGGCTTCTCAAGCCACCAGCGCAGTCCAGCGGCGAGTATGCGGCGACGAGTATGCGGCGACGAGTATGCGGCGACGAGTGTTGTCGCATCCTCTGCCAGAGGCCCGGTCTTCTCCTCGTCTACACGAGCTCGTTTCCCTTTATAAGTAGTCTTTTTTCTCTTCTTTCTCACATCAATACATCAATCAAGTCAAGTTCTTCTCTAAATCCCAACAGGAATGCATCTTGACTTAGCGAGTGATCGTTCATGACCTGGTCCACGGAAGTGACGGGGTACACGGAAGTTCGTGATATTATGAGATTGCTCTCGCAGCACCGCACGAGTGACCACCTACCCACCTAGGAATATAAGAATGCTTACCCGTCGATGGTTCGCGATACACAGCCGGAAATCTGCCTGAGCAAAGCAAAAAACCTCGACCCCTCGCGCAGCGGCCAGGGCGACGATGTTTTTTCGAGGAAAACCGTTAGGTAAAAAGCCTCACCACGTAACCTGTGGGCATGGCCAGAATGTCAGGGGGGGGAGGGGGGGGGGGTTCACGCACCTCTGCTCTTCTTGCCAACGGTCCACCCCATACGTCCGCAGATCGTATCGACCGTGGCCCCGCCCTCCGCCTTCAACACCAGCCTCTCCTTCGCCACCGCGCGCCGCTTCGTATCTGCCGCTTGGCAGGCAGAGATCGAAGCGGACACGTCGCGTAGACGCCGACCCGTCGGCCGATGTCTACTGGCTGCTTGGAGCGGCTGGGCTGGTGGCATTTTTGCGTGAGCGGCGACTCGGCTTCCAATCTGACGGGCTCAGGCCTGATGCACACTAGGCCTAACACAGTCATCAGCGAGGAAAGTGGGTATGCGCCAGGGAAAAGAAACTTACATCCGACGCGAGGATGCCGTCGATCGTACTCTTCGCGACACCGCTGGCGGGCCAGCACGTTCTCGGCCGCGCTGAGCTACATAGTATAGTACCTGTCAGCTTGCGTGATAATGGTGGTGGATTATGATTCATGAATGAATTGCGCGGACTTGCATCGTGATACCGTATCGCACCTCTCCTCACCTCCTTGATGGCCAGCCCGATCGCTGCCTTTATCTCTTCCGTTGTCGCGGTGTGGGCGGCACCTATCAGGGCATAGTAGCACCTGACGCTCATCGTGAATGTTGTTGGGAACCGTAAAAAAGGGTTGCCGAGAGCGAAGAAAGGTGTCGAAATTGTTGCTGTCTGTGTTGTGGCGGAAACGGGAGATATGAAGAGGAAAGGAAGGAAGGACGGGTTGTCGTCGAACTACTTATAATAGTAGCTGAGCCTCCGCGAGTTCTCAACGTCAATAGCACTCGGTATTTGACGTCGTTTGCGCAGGCGTGATTTACCGTCAACACGCCCGTCGGCTGGTACATCACGTGTGACGTGGCAATCGATGGGGTCAAACACGGTCCGGAACCACCAAACGGAATCGATGAGGAGCGCGTACAACGGCTGTTGTCCATTCAGCTACAGAATAGTCAACAATGAGTTGGTCGGTGAAGGAATCGACCCACCCGCACAGCACCTACCAGCCGCAGTCTAACATATCGCATCTTGTCGGCCCGAAATTGAAGCGCAAAACCTGGAAGCTTCCATCTCCGCCGACGGACCGAATTTTCGACCCATCATCGAATTCAATTCTATAGCAGGAAAGGTGTGCAAGAGTCTCATAGTCTACGCAGATGGTTTGTGCGCGAAATCCATTGATATCCTTCTCCCTTCCTCCCTCAGACGGGCAATCCACGCTCATTCGGCCGGTAAGCAAAAAATAAAAGCAAAAATTTCGTTCCCTCGCGCGGCGGCCAGAAAAACGATGTTCTTTTGACAGGAAAACCCGAAGGTAAAAAACCTCACCACGTAACCAGTGGCCATGGAATGTCAGTTCACTCACCTCATCAAGAAAACAGAATTCTCCGTTTGTTGATTGTACGCGGTCCTGACACTAGTAACGCTGAAAACGTCCCCGAGCAATTGCATAGAAGATACCAGCACTATACGGAGGTGTCGGTGGTCAGCGGCGGCGGCGCCGATGGGGCGTCAGCGCAGACTGATGGTGCCGGCAGGTAGTCACCGGCAGGCGAATATAAGAGTCGGTAGATAGCCGTCAATGAAAGCACAACTCTCACGCATATCATACATTCGAGTGAAACTATTTCCGTGCCTTTCAAAAATTTCCGATGGACCGACGACAGTCGTGATGATGGTCGTGACTCGTGACGAGTTGATTTTTAGGTATCTGGGCCTCCGCTAAGGTTGGGATACCCGCACTAGGACGAGGAGACTGTTTCCGTAGTAGATCGAGTAGGACTAGTAGAACTAGTAGCGCGAGTAAAATGCGGAGGGTGAGGAGTGGTAGGGTGAGGAGGAGGAGAGAGAGATTGCATCCGCGATTCTGTCAGTGGGGTATTCGGCTGGGTGACGTCAGCATGGCGCGGTCCAACGGTTGACAGCCAACTATCGACATGTGTCAAGAACCATATTCGTCTCCCACCCAACACACCAGAGCACCTATTACCTCACGGCACCTATTACACCAGGGCAATGTCGCGGGCCGGCCTCTGCAACCTACTATGCAACAGCAGTGACGAGTCGACGGTGCCTCCGAGTTGACAGCACCTCCGAGTTGAAGGAACTACGTGTTGACGGGACGGAAGAGTCAAGGAACGGCAGGGTTGTGGGAGCACGGAAGAGTTGTAGGAGTACGGACGGGTGAGGGAGTGGGACGCTCGAGGGGCAGCGAGCGGGAGAGGGCGAGTGAAGGGCAAGTACGGCGAAAAGGTGACGGCATAAAAGAGTTGTGGGGGCGCGGAAGAGTGAGGGAGCGGAAGATTCAAGGAACGGAACGGTTGATGACGTGGAAGAGTCAAAGCCCCGAAAGAGTTCAGGGGATTGCCTAGTCCAGGCCGTGGAACGGTGGAAGAGCTTAGGGCAAGGCACAGTCAAGGGCCTAGAAAATTCAAGGGAGCAAGTCAAACGTGCGGAAGAGTTGATGGAGCGGAAGAATTTTGGGAGGAAGTCGATGCTGGGGAAGATTCAAGGAGCAGAAGAGTTAACGGCACGGAACAGTCTACGAATGGAAGGGCTGAGGCCCCGGAAGAGTCAAGGAACCGAAGGGTCGAGAGAGAGCCAGTCAAGGGCAAGGGCGGCGAAGAGGTGATGGCGCCGGAAGACATGATGGCACCGGAAGAGATGTGGGAGAAAGGAAGAGGTGACGGTGCCAATGAGTTGATGGCGTGGAAGAGTCAAGGCCCCGGGACAGATGAGGAAACGGACGGGGTGTATGAACAGGGCGGATATGTATTGCCATTATATAGACAGACCACGTGATGTCAATCAATAAAAAGATGTGGCAAACCCCACCTAACGTAGTGCTTACGGGACATCATTCACGTTAGGGCGGAACGGCCTGCCACCGTTCCCTATGCACTCACCCCATTTAGCGCAACACTGCATAAATACAGACGCGACAGTCTAATGGAGTAGATTGTTTTTCCCTGATGTTCGGCCGCACATCGTTCGCCTGATGTCAAAGTGTCTGTGAGTCCTCAGCGAAACATCAATTCTTCTTGTAGTGCTGCAGCCGTAGGAGGAAACCGTGACTATCGCTCATGTAAAACTTTGCACCTCGAGACGACGGCCGGAGCTGCTTCCCCGCGTGGTCACCGTCAGCACGCCAATACGGCACGGATAGCTTGCTGTTTTGTAAGCCTAGTCGAGCTGTGTGATTCCTGGGCTGTATGGACAATCTTGTCCCTACCGGTCCGAGAGGGATGATTAGATCGTAGATCACAGGATGTGAGCAGCTTCTAAGCATCGCGAATAGTCCAACTTTCATAACCAGGACAATCTAAGGCTGGAAATCTAACTTCTTCTTTCTATGTGTGATTTGGAATCGGCCTCACGTCGTCTTTCTATCTCCACTGTCATTGTAGCACGCATAAGTACGAGCTCCTCACTCTTCCTTCTTTACCTCAGTAAACAAGCCTGAAATCAACGCCACCTGCCTCTGACATCGACGACATTTACGTGTACTTGTATCCACGACAGCTGCCTCTGCTTGCATCTACGACGCGCTGCGAGAATCACGCCTTGCATCCACGAAGTTTGCTCCGCTTGTATCCAGAACGAGCTACGAGAATCACAACGGCTTCACAGTCCCGACCACTACTGCTGACTTCGTCAACACCCACTACTACTTACACTCACTCCTACACAGTCACCACTACCACCTCGAGATGCCAGTCTACACAGCCTGCCCCTATTGCGACAAGTCGGTGGCCTACGGTAGCGGACTCAAGTTGAAGCCTTGCGGCCATGGCTGCATCCACAGGGCCTGTCTCTTCTACGCAGCAGAGAAGGCCCCCGATGGGCGCAAGTTTATCTGTCCTCGCTGCTATCAGCCGGGGACTGTTGAGCTTATTGGATAGAGATGCCTGCGTCGCTGGCTACTGCGACGGATGACGGAAGATCCAGCAGCTCGGGGGGTGTGCATTGGGAACCTCGCGCTATTCTTGGGGGAACTGTTGATACATAAAATGGAGCTCTGATGATGAAATAACATTTGTGCTTGCCGGGTATTGAAGTCTTTTTTGCGTGATTTCGATCTAAATCTCTCCCGTATGCCTAGGCATCGAGAGAGGATCGCATATGATAAGATCGTGCGTCGCGATTATGTGGTGGACTGGATTGGCCCTTCCCCACCGTCTGGATGGATCCTCTGTGGGACGATCGTCATCGAGCCCGGGAATTACCCGTCGAGTGGTCTCAATCGCAGTGTGCTGCGGACCAGCGGGGAGGACCAGCTGCGATGCGCAGTGTTACCATGCGCGAAGGGTGTTGTTTTGATTTCCTTTGCGAGCGGGCAGGGTCGATGTACGAGCGACGAAATTCAATTCCACCAAATCTGGTATAGCGGGGTCGGCCAAAGTTCGCCGCACTCATGTATAAGTATTTAGTCGGCTGCCCTGTCTCTTCTTCTGTCTTTTACTGGGGTTATCATGCTCATAAATGCGCTTTTCATTGTCCTGACCTCAACTCGCGAGGCTCTAGCACCTCCTGAATACCGCAGGGGGTATGTTCTCTCTACTTGTCGATTCCTTTCCAGTGGGCTACAGTCGATCTCCTGTCTCTTAGCAAAGTTGCCAAAGCGTCGCCCCGGTCCTAGTGCTTCATCTGGTGTGCCAAACCGGGATCAGCAACCCTCCCTGATAGATCTCACTCTGAAAGCGCCTTCGTCGGTCCGTCGGAACGATCTTCGGAATCCTTCAAATTCACTCGACGCGTCAGTTGCCACGGTCGTCTACGCGGGTTAAGTCAGGAAGTGAGGATACAGAGTGAGACGTGGTGGAGAAGTGAATCAGGAATGAAGGATGAGGATCAGGATAAGGATATTGCTATTTCAATTCTGGCTCCGTTGGACCAGACCAGATACAATCAATTGATAAAGGCCCTTGCTGACTATGAAATAGCTCGTCAAATACTATACCGGAGACACCGTCGACTAGCGAGACTCGGAGTCAACGAACCCCTCACCGGCATCGTCGAAGAGTCACTGGACATGGCCGTACAGACCACCAGCTGCGGTCACTTGCCGACCCCGGAGGAAGGACGTTCTTCGCCCTGCTCGCCCAGCTCACCCAGCTCGTCCTGCATTGGAAACAGTCTTCTCTCCCTCCCTGTCTGGCCGCTAATACGAAGTCTCCCTACTACCGCTCGCACTGCAGTGCCCTCCCTGCTGGAAGCCTGGAACTACCGCTGATACTGTCTTCTCACTAGATGCTGCTATTCGCCAACCGTCATCTGCTTCACTTCCTCGCCCTGTCAGATACCGTCCATCCGAACTGCTCGTTCTGCTCGTCCTGCTCGTTCTGTTCGTCCTACTCGTCCTGCTCGTCCTGCTCCATAGCCGCGTATCTCTTCTACGGACACTGTGCTTGATTCGCCTAAGAACCCCCCTCTCGCAGCCAGAGCCTCACCAATCAAAGCCATGGACTCTGTACTGGATTTGCTGTTATGGAGTCTGGACTGGATGGTTAAATTCGCTGCCAGGACTCAGCACTCGACATATTTGCTGCACAGAGCTCTGTTGGTTGCCGGCGAGCCTAGATAGCATGTGTATATAGAGGATCGACTGGAGCAAGAGGGAAAATAACGAAGTCTTTCTATAGACATACTCATACTCTTCACAACAGCAGTGTAGTCGCCTAAAAATGCTCTCTGGCCACCGGTGAGCTGGGGCCGGGAATGAAAGTACTGGGGATGAAGACGAATATCAAGCGGAAGAAGGGGAGGAAGATGATAACTAGAAGCAGCGAGCAAAACCACGACGATGCTTTCTCCAATGGTGTAGGCTACTAGTGGCGACGTGCCTGGTATTCATTAGATTTATCAGCACTTGCCACAGCACACACCATCCGTCTGACCACAGATATTACCACAACACCATCAGTCTGACATCATAACTGCCCACTCTGCGCTCGGAGGCAAATGATGATATATAAGGTTTGTTGCAGCACAGCTTTGATAGACTTCTCCGTATGTTCGATATAGCTCCTCCTTACATCTGGTACTCCCCCAATCCACACATCGAACTCCCTATACGCACGCATCGATCATTGTCGGCTCCCCAACGGACTTCCAAACCGTAGGCAGCGCAGAAGATTGGGACGGCCCCCCCCCCCAAGAGACGGGTACGACCAACACCTCGCCCTCGTTCCCCACCTCCACCTCGCCCTCATTCCCTCGCCCTCTTTCAGCACTTCCACTGTGCCAGGTTTCCCGCCTGCACCTCACGCTCGCCCTCGTTCAGCACTTCCACCTCGCCCTCGTTCCCCGCCTGCACCTCGCCCTCGTTCCCGACTATCTATGTCGGCAGTCGGGGCGGGCAAGAGACAAATGCAACCAACAACATTCAGCATGAAGAGGTAGAGATGAGTCTTGTTTACGTTGATCTTCAAAATGTGGGGAGTTGGGTGGCGATGAGTGAGGATATTGAAGTGGAAGACGATAGGACGGGCTCCGACTGGGAGGGCTCGGAGGTCTCGAGGGCTCGGAGGGCTGGGAAGGCTGAGTGTGTGCGGAAGGCCGAGAGAGCAGGGAAGGCTGAGAGGGCGGGGCAGGCGGAGGGGATATGGAGGGGGATCCTGTATAATAGCAATTACAGCATTTAACTATACGAAGAAGGCCACGTGAACGCGCTAGATATTCCGAGCACAGGAGGCGTCTGACAGGGCCTTGCGTTATGTGCGGCTCATGGCTGGCTTCGGTCACTCATGGACTGCTATCAATCCAGGCACCTTACTCATTTAGTCAGAGTGTTACACTGTGTGCAGCACCTAGATACCTGCGATCACACCACCAGGGCTGCGGTCCGACATGGAGAGCTGCGGTCCGGCACGGACATCTGTGGTCACATGGTATCGTGCCTATCCAACCATCATGTCACGCCATGTGCAGTTCACGCAGTACAAACCTCTACCCGCGCCCATCGGAGTTTTTGTTTTTTGCTGATGAAGTGGTAACAACTTTCCGTGTTTAATAAAACCTCGGTATCGCTCCCGCCATAGCATATAGGGAGGAGTTTGATATCTGGTTACCGCGAGAACCTATGGTACGTCAGCACGCTGACGACCAAAATATCGTCTTTTTTTGTTTTTTTCATCATCGTAGCATTCGACCTTTGCAGATCATGGCTGCGTACACGATCGGTTCCACCCCACCGTATCCGACCGTTGGCCGCGAGCCCGATGTGGGTTCCCTATTGCCCTCCGCCCGGCCCATCCGCGCATAACAAACGGAAAGATAGAAAGAAGTATCAAATGAGATGGCAAAAAGGAACGGAAAGGAAACATGTCAGTCTTTTCTCCAAACCCCCCTCCAAGCCTCCTAGCCAACTCCTCCAGCGTGTCTAACGCCTCATATCTTCCCGCGTATGCCGGAATCTCCGGTCGACTAGCCCGTACTCTTTCCTCTGCTCTTGCTGTCACCACGTCTCAGTCTATCACTCTGCCCCGAGCCCGAGATGGTGTTGGGGTTGGGGTGTCTGGTGCCGGCGGTGCGAGGTTCGGGGGGTGGGGAGGAAGAGAAATTCCCCAGCCTATCACCTCTCTTCTGCTGCCACTACTCTTTCCGCCGCCACCGCTCTCGCTCCTTCTATCATTTCTCCTGCTATTGGGTAGGTGGGATTCGCCGCTGCCGCTGCCGCTGCCAAGTCAGAAGTCTGGCTCAGGAATTCTTGTTGCTCTTCCCCAAGGGGGGGCACCCGGCTGCCCACATCAGTGGTGGTGAGGAAGTAAAGGACGGCCTTACTGCAATCTTGGTTGGCAGAGAGGTCCCTGATCTTTAACCTATCCTTCCCTCGGCCAGTCTTATTTCACGCCTCCGTCCACAAGATCTTCTGTTGCTTCCTCCACTGCGTGCAGTTCTTGAACAGGTCTTCCCGGGTCTCGGTCATGCACCCGCACCACCAGCACTCTGCCGTCGGTCGGTTTTTCGTCTACGCCAGGTGCTGGCCTGTCAGGGCGTGACCAGTTTTAAGCTGATAGTATCCGGCCGCGACTCTCTTTCCGCTATCCGCAACTGCCATGTCCCAGCTCTGCGTCTTTGGGACACTATATTTCGTGCCCTTCACTTTGCCTCTCGCCCACTCGAGAGAGTCAGCCCACTTCTTTTCGGTTGCTTCCCTTTTGAGGCTCGCGAGGGATCGAGGTTACGGCCCTTTGCGTGATCCCCCGTAGGTAGTCTCCCTGGGCCATTCTACCAAAATATCGTCTGTACGAAGGTGAAGATTGTTGTCAAGCGGATCTAAGCGAACTTGTGTGACAGAGATATGGTGATGTGATTGCTACATACAGAACAAAAGAGCGGACGACAGAGAGACTATTTAACGAGATAAATAGAAGCAAAAACAGGATGCCGCAATATCCATTCCCCATGATATCAGTCCGTTCCCATGATATGCGTCCGTTCCCACCGACGTGTTCACCAACGCGGTCTATTGATGGGCGATGACATTAAACCGGATCACTGACAAAGATGACCATCACATGACTTGCCAGTTGGAGAAAGACTTATGGGGACGGGTCATTGGGGGCGGGGCCATCGGCGGCGGGGTCATCGAGGGAGGGGTCATCGGGTCCCGCCTCGTCGGTCTCGTTCCGGACTATGGGCCGCGGCCTACAGGTCGACCATCGGACGGAAACCCACCTAAGGAGGTGATTCGATTCATTAGAGGTAACACGTTGTACCCCCTCAATGTACATGTATGTCTCCGCGTATCCATCCTGCCAGGCGCTAACGAGGCGATGGTGATATCCGCTTCGATCCGATCCGCTCCAGGCGGCTGAAGCGATTGCGCGACTGTCAGAGACACGGAGGAGTAGCTCTGAATGCGGGGATGGAGGCTCAGCGAAGACGATTTCGATACGTCCACCAGAAACCAGCCATCGAAAATCTGCGGAAATGTCAAACGGGCTAAACAGAAAGTTCGCACGACCGCGGCACTCTTGCATGAACACCTCCTCCGGGAAGGATCCGAACAGCGCATTCGAAGCGCGACTGAGTTGCAATAGCTTTGCACGGTCGGTTTTCCTCCGTAGGTAATCGGCGATCATCATCAAGAGCTCCACCGGGAGATCGAGAAGGTGAAGGGTGTGTGTGGACGCGATCGATGCTTGGGTGCCAGCTGGTTGCGCGAGGCAGCTCGAGCACTTCACTTTTCTCGGCCGGTTTGGTTTGAACATGGCGGTGATGGATGACGGGTCATCAATTTTGCAAGGTAAAGAGCAGGTAGACGAACGGGTTTGATGAGCCCGTTAAATACCTCTAAGTGACTGAACAAGGTACCCGTTTAACATCTACCTGGATAGTTCTAATCAGTTCGTTTACAGTTCTAGACAGGCAGAGAAGACGAGCGATTTACTACCTTAACGCCTCCTGTTTGCTCAGTAGATCTAGTGCTTTCTGGATGACCCGAGTCCTCCTTCAAAACGTCATCATGGCCAAGAGCCTCCTTCCGTAGGAAACGTGAGTAATGACAAACACAAAAGGTTAGCGGGAGAAAAGGTGTGCATCAATGATCAATGATGATCCGGAGGTGTTTTGCGCGGCCATGTAAACTTTGAGGATTGATGCTAGCGAGCGAAGCGGCCAACTCGATCTCGTCACTTCCCAAACCGCTGACTCTACTACGGAAAAATGAATCATGCCGCTAAGTTCACCTCGGCGGACAGCTCTTCGTCACAAAACTATCTGTTTTCTTCATTCATTGATTACGTGCGACCTATGTTAATCATGGCAATCCAACGCAAAACCAGGGGGAAAAATCAGCGACAGCATTTGATAAAAGTGATAGATGATGACCGACGCCCCAAGCACTTTGTTACGGCAGCCCTCAGTATGATGTAGGGAGAGGCACCTTCTGAGACACTTCTTAATTACGCCGGCCTACCTATGTCCTCTTGCATGCAGCTTGTGACGTATCTAACCATTCTTCATTCACGTTATATAGCACAATCGTTCCCTGGACACCTCGCGATGACATCGGCGGATTGGAACCTACTCAAACGTTACGGTCATTGAAGTGCCAGAGGTTTCTGTATCTCGCTCATGTCTAGAAGATTAAGTAAGTGCACTCCAGGACTAAATCACCTGCAAAGCAGGCGACAAAAAGCGCATGGAGGTACGCGCCGAGCGGCCCTTAAACAAATCCCCTCGGTGACACCCGCGACTTTTCGGGGACCGGATCTGTTTGCAGGGATGTCTCGCATCGATCTGTGCGGATGGGGCTGTGCAATGAAGACAACAACACACCATGCGATCACAGCTTCGCCAAAGTCTAGATTGGCTGCATGCGAAATAAACTGAACATCTCTTCCCTTTTACCGACGAACGCAACCTTCGATCGACGAAAGATCGTCAGCAGAGCCACTATCTACTCTGAAGCCCAAGCGGCTATCAAATGGATGCTCCACGACACCCCCGGCCTCCGAACAGAAGTACGCCCTCCAGGCACGGAAACACATCGCCAGCCTAAGTCGCAGGAGGCCCGTCAGCCATAACCCTCCATGGAGATAAGGTGGTGCCTGACCCACTGCGCACTATCGGGGCCTCAGTACGAGAAATCCCACAATTCAGACATGCTGGCAGACGACGACCCCACCGATCGCGGAGTGAAGAGGCACGCACCGCTTCACGATCTGTGTGCTCTTGATTGCGTCTATGTGTGTTGATGTGTTAGCCATTGAGGATAGTGATCAGCGCGGTCTGCTCAGATGAAGACCAGACGCCCGCCGTTGCTGTTGGTCGTTCGCCCAATTTGAGATTGGGGACTGGGGCACCGCCGAGATATGAACCCCGCGCTCTGAAACAGGTGATCCAGAATCCTTAGAGGCGGCTCACAGTGCGGATGGAGTTCGAGGCACTGTGCGGGCATGCGTACACAAGTGATATCGATGGTGGGTTGTAAACAAACGCACATTGCGTGAGAAAATATATGTCATACGGAACAAGAATAATCCAAGGCTTTCGTAAAACGAGGTGGAGACCACCGATGTGCAGATAGGAGAATAGCATATTTTGGACTTCAAGAATTACAAACGTCATTCAATCAATCCCCAGCGTGCCATTATCCCGCGTATTTCTCCGCACTCCCGCGTATTTTCATTGTCATATCAATCTTAAATCTTATTTCCCGATTTCCACTCGTGCCATGGCTGAAAAGAAACGAGCGTAGTAACACCGCCATCGTTCAGATGCTTCCATAGTACCTCCTCTTGCCCTTGAAAGCGACAACAGCCCAGCGGACAGCAGTGGTCTTCATCTTGTTCCTCGGCGACTGCTTGGTGTTCGGCGACCAGCTGTTCGGAAGATTTCCTCCGCGGACTTGCGCCCAGCCTTTGCGGGGGTTGTGGACGGTGGCTTTGCTGACAGAGGTGGCAGCGATAGTGCCGGTCTTGGGAATCCATCCGTAGGACGGGTTGTAGCTGGGATACTGTGGATGTCAGTAAGGAAAATTGGTACATGGCGGAGAGAGTACACACAATCGGACGCGACGACATGGGCGGTGATATGGTAGATTATTATTAAGAGGTAACGTTGATGGTAAAGAACGAGGTGTCGATAGGTTGGTCGACAAAAACGAGCGAAAGTGGTGCAAAGACGGATATAAGGATTTGTCGATGAAATGGGTCGACGTTTGCCGATGTGCACGGGAGATGGTAGAGAGGTTGTTCGAATGGTATGGAGATGGTTACGGTTATGTAGAAGGGTTACTCGCAAGTGATGGAAAACTATGTCAGAAGTGGTTGAGAGCAAACATGATGACAAGAAAGGTAAGGCTAGGAATCAGGAAATATGAATAAGTGGCCCCAGAAGAAGAAACCCGCGCAGGGGCGCCTCTCAGTCATCCACATTCAGCTAGGCCACGAGCCTGACAGCAGAGATGAGAACCTGCAAATGAGAAATACGCTAGCCAAACAACCAAGTCGTTGCGGTTCCTGACAAGGTTGCACCACCGCTTGCACGCTGCTCCTAGCCATTTCCTGAACTCGGAATAGTGCGTGCAGCACCTAGCTACATAGCTACCAGCGGCGAAAGAAAGAACTGCCAAAGCTGGTCCATCCACACATACAGATGTAAATACATACGAACTATGGCAACGCATTGCCAGAGTTCAAGAGCGCCGTCAGTACGAGGACACCCGATATCTGCCCACTCCCAGTAATCAACGACATCCTTCTCTTGCAGGCCATCCATCTACTCCCTTCCAGACGATGCATCGAATCCGCCGCACCTTCCTGCTTTTCTTCCCGCGCGTACCTTTAGTGCGTAGAAGCACCGTTCGCTCGCTAGTTGTGTGAAGGTTGAAGAATACTTTCTTCGACTTGCGTGGCCAAATGCTGCGGATGCTTCGGTACTTGGGTCTTACCCTTGTGTGATTGCAGGCGTCACACAGGATTCGGGCCGCGCCATTCCGTGGAGAGCAGCGAGGCTAAAGAATAAGAGATCTTGAAACCCGCGGCGAACGTAGATAATCGAGTGATCTCATATGTTGGGATTGACAACTGGCGTGCGCAGAAGGACGAGACATTCCCAATCGAGCGTACTGTATTCACCTTGGAACCCATCTGTAACATTGAGTTGGATAGTACAGCGAGACATCACATCTCTATCAGGTAGCACCAGCTGATTGCAAAGACCGATCACGAGGTCACTAGAGACCGATCGTCGCAACTAGAGACCGATCACGAGGTCCCTAGTTGGGGCACAACTGGAACCGCCAACGAGAAGAAAATAGAGTGCTACGGAGAGAAGACGCGTCAATGAAACACCGTGCCTAACGCGCGGGGCACGCGTCAGTCTAGTAGGTCGCTGAAGGATCAGTACAAAATCATCACATGTGAATTTGGGAGACAAAGTAAATGTCACCTGACTGGTGTATGCACAGAGTCTGGCGAAATGTGTTTTGGGAAGAAATTAGTTTTCACGCACCGCCAACGTTTATCCACCATGAGTCGAGTAGAATAACCGCATCCGTCCACTAAGAGAACGCTGGTGAGTCGTTTTAAAGATTGTTCGGAGCAATTGAGTTCAACATCACGGGATTGCTTCCGTCGCACTGAATGTGTACGCAAAAACATCAAACGTACGTGTGCCGATGAGCTACGATGATAAGCCTCTTACGCTATAGTAGCAGTAGATGCATGTGACTGATATAACACAAACGCCCGCTAGATGGTGAGGTGTGTTATCGGAGAAGCATCACGCGACCCACTAGCGCACCTTGATATACACAGCAACGTCCATACTTACGTTAATCCAGTCCATAAAACAGCACCAGGCTGTATCTTTTACAACGATCATTCTACTCGTGTGTCGTCATCGCAAAAATGAAATTGGAGCTGGGAGCAATGTCACCAGAGCAGGCGCACGTGAGCATTCTTAGCCCCTTTTCTCTGGGACAAATGCAAACGGGGGTGTACTACCAAATCACCGACCAAGTGCAATGCTTCCGTCAACAAATAGACCTGGGTTAGTAGGCAAACCGTTGATAATAATATCACCCCAGCCAGAGATGTCATCGGAAACCTGTCATCTGGCGCAGCTCCGGCAACCCATGGTTGTACACGACAGCGATTGCAAGACGAGTAGCACAATGTCGCTGCATCGGACCTCTTAGCAAGAAGACCGGAAGGGAAAAACAGCAAGGATTCACTGATAATGACTTTGGAGAGTCAGACGGTAGTTATGCCCCCTACTTTCGTCCCTAGATTTATGCGACCATCTCGGAACTTCTGTCAACACCCTGGACAGTCGATTACGCATCTTGAAGGTACGTCGATTCCAATGAATACCATCAGCGTATTTTGGATAAAAGCTGGACATGAAGTGCTCAGTTAGAAAAGGAACATCACGTGCCGTCCAGCCACTGCGGTTTTCTTGAAGCGCAGGGTATTGGATGTGCACTCACCCGACATGACTGAGCTTTGCTGACATAGTATCTGACACGGACCATGATGGTTGATCGCCCTACGTCTACCAAAACATACCAGCGAACGCAGTCATCGGAGCAACGATAGATTTGTAGGTTTCTGCCCTCTATGTACGTATGCGACAAGGTCAAAATACGTTAACTCTCCAACGGACTGGACAGCCGGGCTATTTAGCCGTGTCTATTCACCTACAATACTGAAGTGCTTGGGATCGCTGCTACAGAATCATCGTTGAGGATTCGGGAGTAGCG